TGTGAAGCAGGTTTGTTCACCAGTGGCCAGATAGCTCAGTTGGTAAAGCACACTTCTAGAGCTCAGGGGGCCCAGGTTAAAATCCTGCTCTAGTCAGTCACTTTTTCTCCTTTCCTGTTACAAAAGAAAGGCAACTCCTGTCTTGGAAAGCGATTGTTACATTTCTGAAGTAACTCTTTTTCTGGTATTTCTTTTTCTGAAGTAATTTTTTTTTTCTAATAAAGTGAAATTAAATGTATTATATTGTGATTAGACTATATATCTGTAAAATACCAAAATAATGAATCACTTTTTAGCTTTTAAACTTATCCAACGTGGCAGCTACAACCAAATGCTCTGTTAAGCATATATACAATGTAATAGTTGATGAAAAAGAGCAAATTGTACACATGGTAAATTGCTCTATTTCAAAATTACACTCTTTTATCTTGAACACAAAATTCCAAAAATAATAAGAATCATTTACATTTAACAATGTTTTGTCAGTTAAAACCATATTAATAATTTTTTTTATTTATGCCTTCATAACTGAAAGGCCTCCCGTGTGACCTCTGAACTATTTCTTTGTGCCCACATATGGTTGCGATTAAATTAAAAGATGTGACTAATATTATATTGATTGACTAGAAAGGGGAATAGAAACCAGGCAATAAAAAACAGCTGTAGATAGTTTCTGTAAAGCATGCATTCATATGTATATGTTTATCTAGTTTGATCCACAGAGTAGATAGTTTCTGTAAAGCATGCATTCATATGTATATGTTTATCTAGTTTGATCCACAGATGAGGTAATAGTAACTTTTAAAATGTACATATAAGTTATTGCCCAAATACTGCACAGAATGTAGTATATAATCAGTTGGCCTTGATTAAAGTACATGTATTTCTTATGTATTTGCCATGTCAGTATCAAAATAATTTTAATATGAGACAAATATCCCAAATCTTCAGCAGCATTATTAACATTACAGTGAATTCCAAATGTTAATGCCCTTTAATTTGCAGATGAGAAATATATATTTAAAGTCAGGAAAAAATGTGTGTCAAATGTGCTTTCTATTTTTTCCTACTAAACTATGGATGCACTATTGTGTGAGGGTCCACTGACACTGTCATTTTTATTGCATACTTTTATCACCATTACACAGAGTAACTTCCCTTGATAGAACTCTTTTCAATGGACAAATCTCACAAGATTTTTGAGATAATTTTCCAGAAATAACAAATAATGCTACCTCATACAACACTAACAACTCGTTTTAATTTTTGTCAGTGATTAGTTTCTCTCTCTCTCTCTCTCTCTCTTTTTTTTTTTTTTTTGCTAACATTCCCTTCATTCATGCTTTTACCAACAGTATCCACTGTTCCAAGATCATGTGCTAGAGCATGTCTATCATTGTGACACAATTGCGGTGTTTTTCTTTGAAGTTTGCTGTTCTGTATTAGCAATACAGAACGGAAATACAGTGGGCGGAGCTACTTTCCATTCTGTATTAGCCCTGTATACTGTCTTGTATTAGCCAACTGTTCTGTATCTAAAATACAGCACGGTCTAAAAATAAATCTGATTCAATTTATCAAAAGCACGTACAAATAGTAAATGCTGATTTTTTTCCTATTATAAATTTGAAGAAATATTTCCTTAGGAATGTAAAATGTCAAAATTTCTCAATCACTTTTAAAAAAATTATTCCACACAGAATCTACACGTTATTTCGATTCAAACGAAAAGGAAAATTCGCAATTATGGAAAACATCCTATGTTGGAGAAATTCCTGAAAACCTGTTTGCTTTCCCTGCTTTTTGTGTCCCCTTCAAAATAGTAAAGCCAATGGGTTCATGGATGCAGCATACACTACGTGAAATTCGCACTTCCCCTCCCCCCATTTTCCACTCTTTTCGTGCAAACTCAATCAAGTCCATTTTTCAGGGTTTTTTAAAAAAATTTCATCTTAAATCCTTATCGCTGACGACTGCCGCACATCTCTTTCACTTCGTTTTTAATGTCACATTTCAATAAGAAAATAAAAATCCCTAACATCAAAGTCCATCAAAAAACTGTCTGTATCGCCTGTATGTGTATCTTTAGTTTAACTGAGATTTTAAGACCCCTGAAATAAATTAGGATCAATCTCCATCTACAACAAGATTCCACCTTATCAATTAAGACTGACTTCAAGTCTGTTACGTCTACCCCGTTGTCAAAACTAATCTGACTAAATCTTACGTTGTCCGTGGAAATATATATACTGCGGATAAATACTCCCCGTCGAGGCCTCATCTACAGAAAGAACAAACAAACTCTGGCGGAAGTTTGGATGCTGCACAGGTATGAAGTGGGCGGTGCTTTTTTTTTGATTGATCGTGTCACAAATCATTTAGAGAACTCGACAGGTTCTGTATCGTAGATACAAATTTGGGGGTGGAGACTCGTGCTACGCACTTGTCCACCCCCAAATTGTATCTATGATACAGTACCTGTCTCGTTCTCTAAATAATACTTACATCATTGTCCCTAATCCGTATGCTAGACATGTCTCCAACACAAATGAGTGTTTTATACAACAGCAGTGTTTTCCCTTTATTTCAAAATAAATTAAGGGAAAGGGCTGGTTGAAGTTTTTGAACAAAATCTTTGTGGACCTTACAACAATATTTTTTTTTTTTAATTTTGATTTCTAAGTGACATTTTTATAAATTGAAGTGGTTAATTTGGCCGATAGAAGGTTCTTATAGAGCAATATACCATTATCACCTGCATATGAGTATGACATATGGCGTTTATGTCTCCCATTTTACTAGATATGCAAGAGCATCTCCTACGTACAGATAATTATTGACAGAGAAGTTGATAATACAATTTATGATAACAACAATTTCATTTAAAGTCAAAATTTCACATATTCTGTGGTCAATACAATGACATTGTTTGCAAATATAGTCTCTCGATCGTTAAGTCAATTAATGGCTTGGAAAAAATTATACAAGACCTAAAAAAGTTCATCATGCAAATTTCAAAACACTGCTGTAAATAATAGTCAACAGAACATGACTGTCATGAGTCAAAGAGATGGCAACATCTTCAAAGATTGTGTAGAGAAAGAAAAACAAGTTTGCTCCAAACTACGGGTTCGTACAGTTAACAATACTGATGCATCTGGTAATAAAAATCAATGTCATGCAAAAAGAATACAGTTAATTTACCTAATGATGCAAATCTCTTCTGTAACAGTTTTTCTTCTGTTCGTGGAACTCTTATGTAAAGGAGGTAGCAACAATATTAAGATTAATTCCAATCACTTGAGCGTTTATTGTCACACTGATTTTAATACGTAAAGTCGGGTTTGTTTTTACACGGAGCACCTGTTGGGTTTGTGTGGGGATTTTGATTTTATGATTTTCTTTTGCATGTAGTTTATGTTTTTAAGATACACAGCGATTTAAAACACTGTGTTGTTATTTAAACATCATGTTATAATATAACAGAGAATCATACTAATGTAATCCGGCTTTTTTCACCCCCTCCCCCGACTTCTGCAACTTGTAAGCCTTGGTATTATGGCGAAGAACGAAAAATATATGTAGGCCTATGTTATGAGGACAGCACCACTGTTTATTGTATTTCATTCAGGCTATATGATTGAAACAGGTCTCACTCAACACATGTGATCAGATGGGGATGGAGGTTATAGGATTAGAATGACAAATTTCGCCTTTTCATTGTACCTTGCTTTTTTAAGTCTTTCAATTACAAATATTCATGAAATGTTTGTTTGCCATTATGTTCATGTAATGCATGTCTGAATACATGCAGTGAAATGAGTGACGATTCTTGAAGAACTTTATTTTTTAATGAATTAGCCTGTTATCAGAATCTTTTTTTCTTACAATATGAATTATACCCAAAACTTCATATATGCAAAATTACAGACCAATTCCCTTTGAAGTTAGATTTCCGTAATTTGAACATAGAAATATTATGATGCAAATGCTGCATTTATCCACTCCTTCTCTGTTGTGTTTCTCCGTCTATTAAGAAGTAAAACAGTTAGATGTTTCTTCAATTTATTCACTGGCATTTTGTTAATATAAAATCTCATTTTTGATAAATATTTGTCAATGTTTGGCTTAGGACAGAGAAAATAAATGTGAGAAATTTTTGCCACCAGAACACCTGCAGACACTCCCCCCCCCCCCCCCCCCTTATTTTGAACAAGATAATAAGCATAATTTTAGAGTGCTTTTGATATTTTGAAGTACATATATAGATATTGTTTGAATTTTAATCTTCATGGCACATTGAATTGTGGAGCATGAATTTCCAAATTTTCTGGAATTTTTACAGATACTTTTTTTTTAAATTTGCTATGCCAAGTTGAACATTGTTGTTAAGGAAAATTATGAAGAGATCTATATGGCATACTTGTAACAGAATGAAATGGTCCTTGAATATCATGAATACGGTTAGGCCATCTTTAAAAAATTGTTTGGTTGCCCTCTCCCGACTGACTAGCTAAAAACGGCCCAACTGAAAACTTTTTTTAACCTCCATAGCAATTAATTTTTTTATGCATTCTGGAAAATAGATTTTGAAAATTCAGCATTGATTTTGAAATTTTCGTTGAAAAAAAAATTGTCACCTACCTATGGACTCAATTTTTTCATCCTGATTTTAAAGTTCGCCTTACAGATGGGGCGTTATTGTTTCAACACATGGCTTAATATATAACAGTTTAAGCGAATGTCACAGCATTTTTCAATTCCTTCTTTACCAAATTTCTTTTTTTTTTCCAAGTATGTAAACATACTACACTGTACATGTAATTGATAATTTTTTCTTCCATTACCTGTATGTAAATTGGGTTATGCAGAAACTTGAGTTGAATGCTAAGTGTGTATTCATTGTTGGAATGCAAATGTTTTCTCTCTGTTACACAACTACATTCAACCTGGTTGAATACAGTGTAATGAAGAGAAAACCTGTGGGTTCAGGCAGTGTAGCAGAATATTTATGTTTTATATGATATTTGTAATATTTCAGGATATTGTTAAATGGCCGAGTTTGGACCAGACTCAGGAGGACGAATAAAGGTACAGCAACAATGATTTATGAATTGAAGAAGTTCAAAATTTTTAACTATATCTCAGGATAATGGCTCTCATCAGAGTTAATACATATTCTATGTACCTACAATTTAAAGAATGGAAAGGATCAGCTCTAAATGCTGTTTGATTTTTTTTAAAGTGAATTGCATTTTAGTAAACATTAAATTAATCATTAAAACTGCCTTCCAATCAAATAATTCATACGTATAGAGAATTTTTTCCCAGTCTTTTGTTATTCAAATTTATTTGTTGTGTAGACATTTTGAAATCTCCAGTGTGCCCTGGTTATCTTATCTAGGGCCTGACAATTGTAAAGCCAGTTATTTATGGAAACATATCTCGGTATTTTGGAAAGAAAAGGGATGAGGATGGACACACTCACCAATGGACGGTTTATGTCAAACCCTATAAAAATGAGGTACAGTCTGTAGTTTATAGAATCTGAAGTTTATGTCTATTTAAAGGGTGATTTAAAAAGTAGTATAAAAAATAATGCTAAGATAAATGTAATTTTTTTATACTCTAAAGTTAAAAATTTTTAGCAACTGTTTAAATCATTTACTTGACTTTTCAGGATCTGTCGACATATGTGAAGAAAATCAACTTCAAACTGCATGAAAGCTACCCTAACCCAAACAGAGGTACTGAGAAAGTGTAGAAACCTTATTTCAGATTGATTATTAATATTGTTTGCTTAACATAGTCTGAAATAAACATAACATATTTCACTTGTATTCTTTTAATATGTAGTTTCTTGATATGGTAAAACTTTTTTATGTCTAGTCTTTGTTATCTTTATGTGCATCTTTAGCTGAGTAACAAAGTTCACTTCTTAAACCCATGTATTCATTAAAACATTTTATTTTCTAAGATATTTTGTACCATTGAGATTTATAAGTCCAAAACCTCTTAATTCTCTTTGTGTTAAAATGAAAAGATAATTTGATAAAACACAATATATGTACTGTAAATTTCAATCATATTATATCTTAAATAGCATTTGAGTGACTAGTAATGAAGTGTCACATCATAGAAACAGGTATGAATATCACCTGAGAGTTTATCTTATCTTAGATTAAGTAAGAAACTAATGTCAGCAGGTAATCTTAGAAACACAACTGAGTGTGCTGCATATGCTTCATGCATATTAGTTGTGTGAAATCAAATCCAATGCTTGTAGGCAAATCTTACTCTATACAAAGATGAATGCTTTATAGGATATTGGCAGTAATGGTCTTGAAGAGGCATTTATTGCGTTTGTTGATATCCTATGCTGAAATTGAATGTTTCATACTAAAAAAATACAGTTGAACTTCGTTATTTGGAATACCAGGTCAAGTTCGAGATAGCAAGATTTGACTGTATATGGTTTCACCTATTTTACAAAGTTTAAGTAGTATGGTAATGTTACATATTTTTATTTTTCAGTGGTAACCAAACCTCCTTATGAAGTCACAGAAACTGGGTGGGGAGAATTTGAAGTTGTTATTAAGATTTACTTCAATGATCCAAATGAAAGACCAGTAAGATTTATTCGTTATTTAGTTTTGTCACATCAGAGAATATACATGTATCTGTTAACTTATATTTTTCTCACTAGTGAATAATATGGAAAAATTCATTTTAAAAAATTGTCCTTTATAATATATACTTCTTTCATGGGCATCAAAATATGATTTGATTTTGTGTAGTGCATGTATAAATTTCTAAACTACAGCCACTTCTTCATAAATTTAGCATTAGGGATGCATGATTTTATTGGTAGACCTGTTATATTGTGATTTTTTTATTGCAAGGTACATATCGTGATATGGACACCAAAATACTGGTATTCAGAATGTAATTATAAATTCCTGAATTAATTAATTTTTTTAGTTCCAACTCTTGAATTACAATTACTGGAATTGTAAAAAAAAAAAAAGTAAAACAGTAAAACAACAGCATCCCAGCATTCATAACATGCTTTATTAATATATAAATAAAAATAAAATAAGTGAAGTTCTATATTCAGAATATATTTGTTAGAAAAATTATTGATATTCATTTGAAATGTGATTTTTTTTCTTTTAGTATGAACATTCAATTTCAGCATATTATATCAACAAACACAATAAATGCCTTTTCAAGACCATTAATGCCATAGTAAAAATTGTGTGTAAAAATATTATGATATTACTGTGATTTTTTGGAAAAAATCATTATGTCACGACACAAAAGTTTTGGGGATACGCGTCCCTATTTAGCATGAATGCATTTACATTGGGATTTTTTTGTTGTCCCCTCTAGGTCACAATTTATCATTTACTGAAACTGTTTCAAAGTGAGACTGATATTATGCTGGGAAAGAAGTCCCTTGTTGCTGAATACTATGATGAAATGGTATGAAACTAAACAGGAAAGAGTTTTACTTCATTTGTTTAAATTATCCTTCAGACAAGAGGATGAAGATCTGTGTGGTGTATATGTACTAGTATCTTAAGGCACCAAAAGAAAATGAACTACATTCATGTTGATTGATTACGTATTATAGCTCAAAATTGAGAAAAAATATTTTTTACACTTCTTAAATTTGCTTTGACGTTAGTGGCGTTTTTAAATCCCATGTATTGAACAAGTCTTACATCATAATTTTTCAAGAAATTTACATTGTAAATTACTATGATAAAGCTTTACATTGTACATTGAAAATTCAATTTACATTGAAATGATAAAGAAGCATATCACTTTCAGATCTTTCAAGACCCAACAGCAATGATGCAGCAACTGTTGAACAGCACAAGACCTGTGGCAATAGGAGCATACAAACATGAAACTGATTGTAAGTAATGGTGTGATGAAATTGAGTATGAATACTGGTACATGTAACAGAAGTCAATCTCTATTAATTTCTCACAAGCTCAGTAAACCACCTCAACCTTTCTAGAATCCAAGGGCTTCAAAATATAATTTCTTGTATTCTTGTCATGAAATTTCTTTTGTTAAACCCATACTTTGTTTAGAATAAAGAAATGACAAAAAGTTCTCAAACTATATCTGATCCTTTGTGAAGATCATAAAAATAAAACTTATTTCAAAACAAAATGTTTTCCTCTGATAAAGAATTGATGGCAACCATTTCCTGTATTACTGATCAGTTTTCAGTACTTTTTGCTTACTTACTAGTATACTTAAATAAATTAACACTCTTAAAATTTAGCCCAATTGTCCTCTTTACTCACTAGGTCAATCATAAATTAGTTCACTAGAGTTTTAATAACAACATGTATAAGCTTTAATCATTTGTTAGTGGACAAGAAGCAGAGCTAAATGCACTAAAAAATGATTACCGCTACAATAAGTAGGTTTACAATATTGTGAAGTTTTCATAAACTACTGGTGCTTAATTTTTGCAGTTGAAGAAAAGAAAGAAAAAACTATAGAGAAAATTTTAGCAGCTAAAACAAAAATAAGATACGAGATCCAGGAATTAAATGAAAGGTTAAAGAAGAAAAAAGAGAGTATCCAGATTTTAAAAGACCATACTGAAAAGCTAGAGGACGCTGATGTCACAGATGTGGAGAATGTCACATGACCAAGTCAGCAGTGTCTATGGCTTGCTCGTTTATTGATTGAAAATTATACTGACATTTTCAGTGGAGTAGAAATTGAATATAGAAAACCAAATGTTGTACTTCAAATTTCCACTATGTGTTCATTGCTTTGAATGATTTTTTTTCTTGTATACGTGAACATTTGTTTTAGAAATAAAATAGAATAACTTCTAGCTTGATTTTTTTTTCTGTGCAGGGAGATATTTTTTATGTCACTTGAGTAATTCAGTTTAGGACTACTATTTTTTGTTTTTATTTTTTTTTTTGGTCCAAAAACCAATCATAAACTACTTCACATTTCATTCTTCTCAGATTCCTCTCTGAAATAATGAGCCAGTTGCAATTTTGGAGCACATTGTAAATTTCATGGTCTTCACACCCTATAACATTAGGGAGTACATGTATGTCTTAAGCTTTCAAAATTAATACATTACTTTTCACTCCCAAACATCAAATAGGTAGACAGCATATTAAGCATATTAAACAAAGAATCCTGCTTGTAGAAATCTTTTTTTCTCCCTGGTCCATTTCAAGCCCCAGGGTGGGATGAGGTGTTTATTCAAGTACTGAAACTGCATTACATCTCTGATAATATTTTTCTTTACCTTTGAACACCTTGCAGACAAACTGATTTATGTGCCTATTCAAATTGCCTGCATAATGGATTTTTTTATCTACTGATGATTGTTTAAAGCTTCAGTAAGATGGCACATTATTTCTTCAGTGTACAGAAAGGGAAAAAGAATGTAGTTATTAAGTAAGAATGTTATTTTACAGGCTGCTGATTTATACATGTCCCAGACTGATCAACAAATTAGAGGCAAAGCGATAGTAATTCATTTTGGAGAACATCGATCTGTAAACGTTTTTTACTCATCTCTTTGCTTATATTAATTAACATGACCCTGTAAGGAAAAAAAATGATAGAAAAAAAATTTGTAACTTGTGTGTACATGTACCAGGATATACTATAGTATATGTGATCAAACACGTTTAGTTTTCAACCTAGAAAGATTTTTGGAAAACAGATTTTTCATAAACTTGAGTCAATAAAGAGCCATGAAGTACAGTACCGGTAATCAATATGATCACAATAAGCACAATTTTTATGCCCCTCCATGAATATGGCCAGGGCATATAGTGTTTGTCATGTCCGTCTTCCGTCCTTCTGTCCTTCCGTCTGTCCTTCCGTCACACTTTGCGTTTAGCTCTGTTCAAAGCTCAGTTTCAAAGAAACTATCCAAGATATTTTTATCAAACTTCATATGCTGATAGATATTGATGAGAGCTATGCAACTGCATCAACATTTTTTGACCTTGACCTTTCCTTTGACCTTGACCTCACTTTTCTTAAATTAGTGTTTAGCTCTGTGTTAAAGATACCATTCAAGATAGTGTAATCAAGCTTCATATATTGATACATACTGATGTAAGCTATTCAACTGCATCAACATTTTTTGACTTTGACCTTTCTTTTGACCTTGCCCTCACTTATCTTTAATTAGTGTTTAGCTCTGTTTTAAAGATACCATTCAAGAGAGTGTAATCAAACTTCATATGTTGATACATACTGATGTAAGCTATTCAACTGCATCAACATTTTTTGACCTTGACCTTTCTTTTGACCTTGACCTCACTTTTCTTAAATTAGTGTTTAGCTCAGTTTTAAAGATACCATTCAAGATTAGTGTCATCAAACTTCATATGCTTATACATACTGATGAGAGTTATTCAACTGCATCAACATTTTTTGACCTTGACCTTTCTTTTGACCTTGACTTCACATTTCTTAAATTAGTGTCAAACTTCATATGCTGATACATACTGATGAGAGCTATTCAACTGCATCAATATTTTGACCTTGACCTTTCCTTTGACCTTGACCTCACTTTTCTTAAATTAGTGTTTAGCTCAGTTTTTAAAGAAACCATTCATAATATTTTTATCAAAGTTCATATGCTAATACATACTGATGTATCCTTTTCAACTGCATCAACAATTTTTGACCTTTGACCTTTCCTTTGACCTTGACCTCACTTTTCTTAAATTAGTGTCAAACTTCATATGCTGATACATACTGATGTAAGCTATTCAACTGCATCAATATTTTTTCACCTTGACCTTTCCTTTGACCTTGACCTCACGTTTCTCAATTTGTGTTAAAATGTTGCATTACTAATATACCCTCGGCGGTGCATTCATGTCCTATGGACATATTTCTAGTTATACTTAGAAATACTTGTGTCGAAAAATTATGAAAATGACCAAAAGTTAATACAGTCATTGAAAGCTGTCTATATCAGCTATATTTAAAGCCAATCAATTTGTTATTTTACCAAAATAGGAATCTTTAACTAAAACAATGGATGTACAGATGAGCCAAGTATGATTTAATAAGAAAAGAAAACAGGTTGTCGATTTACATGTATAAGGATATTTATTTAAATACTCTGGTTATATAAAACAAAGGTGTGGATTGTCTTAATCAACTGGAATACATTTATATACTGTACTGATCATTTTATGTACAGCCATGTCAATTATTATTGCACTAATTTGATTATAATGTATACAATTTTATAGTAAATCTAGATGTGCATGAAAAACATCTTTTATATAAAGCAGTTTAGCAAGAATATATATAACTTAAGGTACATTCATTGCACATTTGTCATTCTATATTTAAGCACTCAGTGCTGGGTTTTATTATAGACTGAGCAATACATCATGGATTGAACTTTTTAAACTTGTATACTTTTCTTTGAAGTTTTACTAGAAATGCAAATTGAGATGATGAAAAGGTGAATTATCAACTTTTTTGAGGAAACAAACAATCAATTTACAATATAATGTACATGAATCTCCTTAAAAAATCTAGTAATGCTCATAGGAATCTTTAAGCTTGGACTTGGGCAAAAACAACACATACATGTCTGAGGTAGTCAGTTTTTAAAAGTTCATCTAACTCTCACTTTGTAATTACAAAAAGGGAGAAAAAATCACAGCATATTAATTGCTTCACTCTAGCTACTTTACTCATTACAAACTATGATTATCTGATGAGCAGCAATTATTCATTATTTGAAATAAATGAATAGTTTTTTTTTTCTCTCCCAAATACACAGAAAAGGACTTTTAAATTACATATGGTTCATCCCCTCTCTAGAATAATTCCACAAAGTTATATGGTTTTGAAATTGGTACAATATCCTATTTCTTGATTAATCTGACTGAAATATACACCCGACAAATTTTCCAGACTTTAAAACCCTAATCAAGCATTGTCAAAATCAAAGTCAACATAATCAAAAATATCTACCGGTATGCTCATTAAGTTCTCCATAACTATTACATGTTAATGCAACAATAGACCTTATACTACAAATCTATTTAAATCTTCTTGGATGTAACAAATCAAATCTTTGTTTTGTTCAACTTAAATAAAAGAGGATGCATAGGTCTTTTATGAGATTAGCAGTTTTCATGATTCAATAGACATTACACATGAAAATAATCTCTGTCATTAATACAGGTACATGTATATGAAGATTTGAAAAAAAAAAAAAGAAAGAAAACAAATCCCAATATCCTTCACATTACTGAGCTCTGACATTCAGTTAAAAAATTTAATTAACTCAAAAAATTAACACAAAAACATTAACAGGATATCAGTTTGTATTTCACCAAATAATAACAGAAAATAAAAGTACTGTAATAATTCTTGACACATCATCACCTACCAACACAGTGTGGGACGATCTAATGTGTCTTAATTGTTGCCATTTTTGCGTCACCTGAAGGTTATAGTTAAAATATAAATTCAAACAGCTAACCTAATGATTTTATACAAATGTGGATGATGCAACAGAGGCATCCATTTATCAACAACTACCACCAACACATTCAACTGGCATTAAAAAAAGAAAAGAGAATATACTGTATAACAATAACATTGAAAGGCCTTAATCACAGCTCAAATTCAGCACAACGTCTTGTGCTTTTTGTTTTTTAAAAGATTTAAAGTTACGTACTGCACAAATAGAACAATGTACATAGACTGAAAGACCCCTTTTTTGTTGATTCATTTTTTTTTCTTCTGATTTTAACAAAATTTTCACCCATAAATAGGAATGTGTACCAATTTTGTGAAATAACAAGATATGAGTGAAAGGGAGATAAATCACCACAGAAAGCAGTCAGGATAAAACATTAAACAGTGGAAATGGACAATATCACTCACTCTTCAAACAATCCATAATACAATTTACACCAATGATAAAACATGGAAAATATCACTAGAATTAATAGGTGATAATCAAAAACTGTATATATTTACATTTATCTACTGAATTTAAAACAATTCATTTATATCACATATCAGATATATATAACAATGCATCAATGCAGTTTTATTCTGCACATTATAGTACATCATAATACTTTTAAAATCATTAAGGCACATACATGTATATTGTGTTGACAAACTACACAAGGATAAAATATAACAAAGATTGGATTTATATAACCGGCAAGTTCACACCAATTCTAAAATTTAAATTTCTCAAAACACATAAAATAATCACTGGTATATCACCTTGACAAAAACATACTAAAGCATATCTTTTATATTCCTTTCTCTGTCTTCAATGTGTATGATTAATAAGCCCACTGTTCACAAGAAATTGATATGGATGATGTGATGGTGTGTTTACAAAATACATTTATACATTAGGATTTCAGATCAGAAGAACTGCCTGCCTGCTTTTTCTTGTTGACCACATTTTTTTGGTAGGTCCTGGCCTGGGATAGGATTTCTTTGAGCCTTGTGGCTACCTGTAGTAATTTTGTTCAAATACAATTCAGTAAATATACTAAACAAATAAGGCAATTTAGCACTATCAAAATTTCTGTAAATAATTATAAATGTGATGAGGTGTCCTTACTTTAGCTATATTCTACTGATCAGAAGTATGTACAATATTATATCCCTTACAAGAAACAAAACAAAACTGCACATTGGCAACAATGTTTTATCTCCCTTGTCAATATTTATTCATTTTACCTGTGTGAACTTGGGTCGATTGTCGGGATTTGCATTCCAGCATGTATGCATGAGTACTTTATATTGTGGCAGCATCTCAACAGACATTCCATTGTTTAGGGAATCTGGTCGTGTCCCCTGTCTCACAATTTCCATCACCTAGGAAACATCAGGATAAAAATAAACAATAACTAGAAATATGTCCATAGGACATGAATGCCCCGCCAAGGGTATATTAGTAATGCAACATTTTAACACAAATTGAGAAAAGTGAGGTCAAGGTCAAAGGAAAGGTCAAGGTGAAAAAATATTGATGCAGTTGAATAGCTCTCATCAGTATGTATCAGCATAAGAAGTTTGACACTAATTTAAGAAAAGTGAGGTCAAGGCTCTCATCAGTATGTATCAGCATATGAAGTTTGATAACACTATCTTGAATGGTATCTTTAAAATTGAGCTAAAAACTTATTTAAGAAAAGTGAGGTCAAGGTCAAAGGAAATGTCAAGGTCAAAAAATATTGATGCAGTTGAATAGCTCTCATCAGTATGTATCAGCATATGAAGTTTGACACTAATTTAAGAAAAGTGAGGTCAAGGTCAAAGGAAAGGTCAAGGTCAAAAAATGTTGACGCAGTTGAATAGCTCTCATCAGTATGTATCAACATATGAAGTTTGATAACACTATCTTGAATGGTATCTTTAAAACTGAGCTAAAAAAAATTTAAGAAAAGTGAGGTCAAGGTCAAAGGAAAGGTCAAGGTCAAAAAATGTTGATGCAGTTGAATAGCTTACATCAGTATGTATCAACATATGAAGTTTGATTACACTATCTTGAATGGTATCTTTAAAACTAAGCTAAACACTAATTTAAGAAAAGTAAGGTCAAGGTCAAAGGAAAGGTCAAGGTCAAAAAATGTTGATGCAGTTGCAAAGCTCTCATCAATATCTATCAGCATATGAAGTTTGATAAAAATATCTTGGATAGTTTCTTTGAAACTGAGCTTTGAACAGAGCTAAACACAAAGTGTGACGGAAAACAGACGGAAGGACAGAAGGACGGAAGACGGACATGACAAACACTATATGCCCCGGCCATATTCATGGCGGGGCATAAAAATTAACGTACGTACATGATGATGAACCCGTAAGTGAACCTGTCAAATGCCAGTACTTCTCATGATGCATCACAAAGTTAGTTTATCTCAAAGACATTATATCTGTCAATGGTCTACATTTTAATCTTGGCAATGCTATTTTAGTTGGAATGAGTTTATATACCACTCCATTTGGTGGCTGAGTTATTGAGAGCTTGCTCTATGTCTTTATCTCCATCATTTCTATCATGGCTTGATAAGAAACTTTACTCTAACCAATATATATCCAAGTTCCTTAGAAGTGAGTTTTACTGTATTGTTATTTTCAGAATTTGCCTCTCATATTTACTCAAATGTTCATGGATGCTTGACTTGAAAATGAAATTCATCTTAAAATTTTATAATACAAGATTTCTTCACTGTGCATGTCTAAATAATAATACCCTTAGCCCAAAAAAAAATTAATCAATAGTTTCTCAGGCACCGCCGCATCAGGTCAAACACTGCCGCATTGATCAATTTTATTGACATATTGAGAAGGGAAATAACTCAATTTTCTATTTTTCCAAATAAAAAGAAATTGAGTTATTCCCCTTTTCATAAATGCCAATAGATTGACGTTTTTATTAGATAAACAATACATTTCTTGTTAATACAGCATTTTATAAATTAACTTTGTTTGGAATAACATTATTTAAAGTTGAATGCATATTATAATTAATGAGAGAACAAAAAAAATAAGAATCAGTTGATATCATCATTTTGTTGAATGACTGACAACTGCTTCCAAGAAAAAAAAAACAAAAAGAACCTGCCTGCCGCATTGAATTTTGAAATTTTTGGCCTGAGAAACTATTAATTAATTTTTTATGGCCTTACTGACTTTTACGGATTTTGTTTTGAAGATACCATCAGTTATTTTAGAAAGGCATCCTTGGAAAGGGCACACATTTATTAACACTCTCTAGTAGTTGTATCAAATTATGCCATCTTATACAGTATATACTGTACTGAAAGATAAACAGGTACCCACCTCTTGTTCCGTCATTTATCTGGTACCCACCTCTTACTCTGTAAATTATCTAGTACACATCCCTTGTTCTTTCATTTGTGAGGTACCCACCTCTTGTTCTGGGATTTATATGGTACCCACCCCTTGTTCTGTGATTTATCTGGTATCAAGTCCTTGTTCTGCAATTTATCTGTTATCTACCTCTTGCCTGGTATTTCTGATTTGGTTCTGTGGTTTTGTGATTTATCTGGTAACCACCTCTTGTTCTGTAATTTATCTGGTATCCACCTCCTGAGTGTCTAGTATCAGGTCCTTTTTTTGCAATTTATCTGTTATCAACCTCTTGTTCTGTTATTAATCTAGTACCCATCTCTTGTTTTGTGATTTATCTGGTACCAACCTCTTGTTCTGTGATATCTCCAAATGGATCCTCGCAGACTGCCAGCTCCCACATAGTCATTCCAAAGGAGTAGACATCAGACTTTGTGGTGTGGGGGGAATCAGGGTCTGTCTCTAAGGCTCTGGGGTTTTGTATGACCTCAGGGGCAGTCCAACGAAGAGAGGAAGGACAGCCACTGAACTGACCTTGACCTACATTAAATATACAGAAATGCATCAATTCTGACTGCAATAAACATTTTCAATATTAGTACATATTTTATATAATCTGTGTAGTTTGACCAGCTTTTCTTCTGGTATTTTTGACAATTTATCTTTTTTTAAATACTTTTCCCCTCCAATCTTGATCACTTGGAAATTCATGCTTCAAAGTCTGGTAAAAAAAAAATGGCAACAGTTCTTAAAAGTACAATGTATGATATGTATTTGAAAGCCCATATGATCTTAATGAAGCATTCATCATAAGCCACCTTTGTTTTTTTCTAATATAGTTCTTAAATGGTTCTTTGAAACGAAATACCCCGTTTAGATGAAAAGAAAAACACATTAAAAATCTCAACTCACCCTGTACATGTTAAAGTAGAAAATTTTACAAATTTAACCCTTCTGTTGGAGATTATTTTTGTGAAAATTAAAATACATGGTATTAAGATTTACAGAACATTTCAAATAGGGGTTTATTCTGTGAAGTTTGAAATTGTCAAAAAATACTCCCACCCAAACATTTCCACATTTAGAGTAGAGACTGCTATATCTATATATACAACACTTGGACGGCCACAAAAGAAAGGACTTACAACAGCACTGCTCCTGGTCACAAAGGATTCGAAGAGGTTGTATCAACTTGATCAGACCAAAGTCAGCCACCTGAAAATTATTTAGAAAATTTCATGGAATTTCAGATTGAAGAATTTCTCTTGCTATGAAATCAAAATATGAAACTGTTATTAATGGAGAACTAGTGATGTGACTTCTTTGTAGAACTGTATACAGGGAAATTTTTGCCCCCATTTTCTTTTTGCCCCTTTTGCCCTTGTCTCAGTTGGGTGAATTTAAAATGGGGTGAATTCAAAGAAAATAGCATTATCTCCTAAACAGAACTGTGTCTGGGCAAATTCAATATGGGGCAAAATTTTTTGCAAGTGTGAAAGGGCGAAAATAACCCTGTATACAGTAATATATGTACTTATCACTAGTGCATTCCCTTAGGTATAACAAATCACAACATGTATTCATTTACTTTGAGGACCTTATTCACAAAGTGTCTGTAGTTTTCACAAAGTTGTCCTTAACCAAAATTTACTGAATATTTAATAAGACTTTTCTAAAGACCCCATATAAAGAAAGTCTGCAGAATGCTAGGGTTTTGCTGGAGACATCTTACTTGAGTCAAAACCCTGAACCCTGGACCCAAACCATTTCTGAGAAGGTGCTGAAAAGTTCAGAAGTTTATAGATGAGGCACCACTGATAATGATGGATGAAAACAGATAATAGTAAACAAATAATAGGTCACCTGGGTGACTCAGGTTACAGTAGATTAGACAAAAACCAAATCACAAAAATAATATAAAAAGTGCCTGTTTCTGCAGCATTTATGGATATTCATCCCTTCCCGTAACCTAATGTCACATTACAAACATTATCTTTCAACAACATTTCCTAGTGCTGAATTCATGGAGGTTCATGAATACTGAATACAGGGAATTTTCACCAAATTTATAAGTTCAGCATCGCTTTGTGAATAAGGCCCAAAATTTTCATCAATTTCATAAGAGTGAGAAAATATACAAACACATTTATTACAATGTTCATAAAACATGTAATATATACATAATTCATTTATTATAAGAATTTTTTTTTTTTTCAGTGAACATGGTGTTATATTAACAACAATTGCTTTGGAAACATATTTCACCATAATGATGGAGCAATTTCACTCATAGTGAGAGAATATACATTACAGTAAGATGAAACATATACATTAATTTTTCCATAGAGATTACCTTGACAACATCACGGTTACTAATGAAAATATTGGCACATCGGAGATCTCGATGAAGAATGGGTGGTTTTGATGAATGTAAATAAGCCATACCATCAGCTGCTTGCATACTCTGTCAATTATTCATTTAATCATAATCTTAATTTAATGTTTTACTGTAATATAAAAAAATCAACTTGAGCAAATAACTTATGATTATTACCAGTAGTTCATCATTTGAATTTTATTTAATCTAGGTCAAATAATTATAGGTACAGTATTTCTAACAGATACTTACAATTTTGACCCTTTGAGGCCAGGTAAGGGCCTCAGATCTATTGTCTATGAAATACTTGACACTCTGTCCATCCACAAACTCAGATATGATGTAGGGAAATCTGTTTTCCACACAAATCCCCAGCATAGACACAATGTAACGATGTCTCTGGCGACTAAAGGTACAAACATTATACATGAATGATGAAAAATTCTTTTTTATAAATATTTATTTTTGAAAATTTACTTCTAAAGAATTGTCTTAGGGATTTGGAGAATCTATATTTCTATACGACACAAAATTCAAGCAAGAGTGATACAACAAAGTCCTAGTGATAATCTGATGTGCATGTTTCAAACATAAAATATTTATTGATCAAAAGTTCTGAAATGAAATGCAATACACATACTGTGTGTTGATACAAGTTTTCTAAAGCATGCTGTAAATCTTACAGATGCTGTAAACTACATATTGAGTATATTTTGTCTTTGAATGTACCAGCTATCCAAGCATTTGACAAAAAGATAAACAGTCAAACCTTGTTATCTTCAGGTCAATGGGATCAAAAATAAACTTCAAGATATCCAAGGATTCAAGATAACGAAGTTAATATACATAAGGAAAAAGTGGTTGGGACTACCATATCACTTCTGAATCAACATAATCCTGGCATTTGAGATACATGTATTGGTGTTCATGGTAATGAAGTGCAAATGCATTATACTGACCTTAGCCCCCAGACTTCTTCCTTCATCCAGTTTAAGGTCTCCTGACTTATCTGGTTCTCATGGACGTCTAGAGTAATTCTGGTGACAGCCACCTTAAGCCCACAATATTCACCAACATTTGTGTCACTGTATATTCCTCCTCCAAGTCTGAAAATATACAATATATCTCGAACTTTAAGGCTTTTTCAGTAAAACCTGTCTAATCTGGAAACCACTTTTTTTAATAGAATTTTGTCAATTTAGACAACAGTCCAAATCAGTCCAAAAAAAGTCCAGAATTATAACTGAACTTACTGAAAAGGAAAATGATTTCATTGAAAATGCAATATATATGAGTACTCAACATCCATATTAGGCAAGTTTTGCAGTAATTTTGATTTTCTATAGCCCTACCTTAAACTGCACTCATTTCTAATCGTTGAAATATTGACATTATGATTAGAAATGAGTTGATGCAGCAGACAACATTAAAACTAATGAGAAATAAAATTAGAAAAACATTTGTGCAACAGTGCATTCAAAATCAAGTCTCAGAATAAGTCTTCAGAATAGATAGAAATATTATGTACACATGTGTATAATCAAAACATATCTAAGTTTAATGAATCACCTTTGAGACATCTGTAAGGACTCGTTTGAGATGAGACAATTTTCCAATACCGGGATGTTCATTTTTTTACTCTTAGCTCTGGTGCTGTCTGGTTCGTAGTCTCTGTAAGCAGATGCTTGTGGCTCTACTGACATGACAGCAGGCGATGGGCCTCTGTTTCCACTCCCAGAATCCTGCAGAAAGTCATTACTTCCCATTGCAATCACATGAGTAGGTGTAGAGGACCCTGCAGTCGCTTGAACTCCTTGTACAATACAAAACATACATGTAATTGCATAAATTCAAGAGGAATGCACAAAATATAGCAGTCTAGACCAGGATTCCAACATACGGACCTTGACTCTGGAAGGGTTCTTAAGATTAGACCTGCCTGATCATCACTGATGTAATAATTGCTCATATTTGAAATATATGTACATAATTAAATTTATCATTTTTCATACATAAACACAAAAATTATACATCTCCCTTTCAGAAATAAGACAGTAACAAAATGACCTTGAACCTTTAGATTAAAGCTGATTATATGCTATCCATCTGCTAAATATGATTATTTGTTTTAATATAAAAAGTGCATGGGGGAGGGAGGGGGAGTTATCCCTTTTTTTGTACCACAAAGTTTATCATTTTATGTACGAAATAAGAGATACCATTCTTGGTATAAAACATTGAATGTTTCTTTATTTTCATATTATAAATCACATTTGAAAGCTTTTAAATACTTGAGGTAGATTTATCTATTTAAAATAAAATCATTCTGAAACAAAATACTTTTCCTATAAATTTCTATGTACTGGTAAATCTCTGGACTTCACTAAAAATTGTGGCTCCCAATCTAATTAAAATTAGATGTTCCGAATCCGCTATCGCTTATCAGAGAAGCGGTAGTGGATTCGGATCATCTAATTTTAATTAGATTGTGTGGCTCCATTCCTTAAGCTTATTATAAACTAAACTCGGTAGTAAGCATATCAGAAGTAAATTATATTAATTTATTTCAAAAATACATCTTCATCAATATTAGAACAAGCATCTTTGAGTATCTACTTAAACATACCAGGGAGTTTGTAGTAAAACTGTAAATGGGATCTTTTCTTGTAACATGTGACTCCCACACATCCCGCTAGCACCAGAATCCCAAGGTTTACTCCTAGGATCAGTAGAATCTTACTACTACTACTTTTGTTGTCCTGTGAGTCAGGTGTTCCATCACCAAGTTCAACTACAAAAACAAAAAAAGAATGGCATTTTTCTCCAGCTACATGTAATGTTAACTTTTCAAGTTCCTCCTGCTCTCAAACTTGAAAGTTTTATGCATTATAAAGAGTAGCTTTCATTTTTTTTCCGAAGTCAAAAATTCTCTTGCGTTATAATTTTTCTGAAAAAAAAATTCCTAGATCCACCCATGTAACCTCAATCCAACAATGCATCCCCCCATGTAAGAGCTCAATCCAGCTATTTTAAAATACATTGTTCTAGCATATCAAGTATATTACATTATGATTAACAGCTTCTGTATGATAAGTGTATGACCCAATAGCCATGACCTTTACATGTTATCAGCTTTAGGACTGGCCAGTGTTAACTTAAATGGGTCAGGTTCAGTATTTACATTCAGTCACTTATCATGTTGTCCATTCAGTGCAAAATTCCACAAAATTTGTTTGTTTTAATAAGCAAATCAAGAACTTCAAGCATTGTAAATATGCAACTACACACATGTATAAGGAATCTGTACATTCTACTGGTAATTGTTTAAAACTCACTAGAGGATGAAATCTGAAATTTATGTGGTCACCAATTTTTTGGAATTGGTGATTCAGTCAGACATATCACATAACAGTCAACTTACACTGTAAGTGACCAGTGTACCTTAGTCTTAACCTACATATATGATAATTGGCTAGAATACCTAGGCAATGACATGCTATATTATGCTACATCTAACAATTTCAAGATTTTTGGGGGGTCTTTTAAATTAAAAACAATTAAATTTAAATCATGTCTCAAGAAGTTAAAACATTCATGACACAGAATTTATTTACACTTACATATATTGACAAGTTTTGCAAAAAAATGCATCTTAATAACACTTTCATGCACAGAGCCAAGCTTACCCCCAGTTACTACAATCACGGGCAGCTTTCCTCCTTTACATCCCCCGGGGCAAGCACAGACATGATGCAGCTCAGCTTCCTGAAAATAGGATCTAGCTTATAGCAGCAGAAGATGACTAGAGAGTATATACTCTAAATGTACATACATTCATCATATCTAGTCTGTCTAACTCAAAATCAATCCTGATTCAAACTTAATAAAATGAAATTTTAAAAAAAAAAAAAAATAAATAAAGGTTAGGTGCTTGTAGGGCTGAAGTCCTTAATCAGTAATGACTGTTTGACTTATTAAAAAAAATAAAGTTAGTTTATTCCATCCTCATATTTGTTTGATACATGCATGTAGTGTTACCATAACAAAATCTTTTTCTTACTTTAAAACTTTTCATCTTTATAAACTGAGCTTAAAAGAATTTGAATAAATATGAACTATAACATTAGCCAAAATTTACATATTGCATATATCAATTTTCAGACTTGAAAATGGTGTATCTTCTAATCAGAGAAAATCTAATACATCAAATGTAAAATAAAGTGTCAATTTTACCATATTTGCCCCAATGTGCACTTAAATATTTGAAAAGGAAGGGGGCTTTTTTAGATTGATCCTAAACCATGATGTATGTACCTCAAGGTTTTTTACATCAAAACATAAAGATACAATAAAACTACTTTATAACCAACACAGATTCTGCAAATTCATGCTTACACAAACTTGTATTCTCTTGTCTCTTAGTAGAAAATAATTAATAGTTACCTGGCAAATGAATATATAATGTATCTAAACTTAGTATATGTAACTTTTATAAAATCTATTCAGTGTTAAGCAATTTATCCATCAAGTTTGGAGAAGAGGCGCGTATTATTTAAAACGAAAATAACAGATACAAGCATTTACAATGGGCGTGAATGCTAATTGGAACAAATATGGTATTGCTCATATTCATATTTACTGAACTAAAATTACGTTTCAGATTACAGTGTGAATCAGACATGAAGTTGCAGTAATACAAACAAACATGTTTTTATTATAAGAAGATGTGTCTGCAGAGCTATAGAATAGGAAATTCAAGAAATTTATACCACTCCAATTTTGGGGTCATCCACAATAATGGTAAAGCGTGCATCCTCAGGGTTGTGTAAACTCCAGTTGCATTTCAAGTAAATACGACTCGTCTTGACTGACATTGACCTAAAAAGACCAAGAATTCTAGTGCGTGTAAAACTTCAATATCAAATTACATTTTAGCATTTGTTGCACTTTTAGTAAAAAGAAATTGTTTGTCACAAGTTTTTTTTTAAATCTTTTTTTTTTCATTTTGGTTTGCTACAAAGTGAACAATAAGAGGTTCATTTCTTGCAAAGCAGACATTTTTAAATTGCTGTCGACTGAGATTTGGTGCAGAATTTGTAACTTGTGAACTTAATAATATTCAAGGCACTACATGTACTGCTTTAAATCAGAGTGTATGTGTACCTGCTGTGAAAGAAAGCTTTTTAAACATTTGATAAATCAATAAATGGCATTTATTGCAGTATCATAAATAGTTTTCCCACAGGAATTTTGGGAATATAGACTGCCATCTGAAAATATCTTAAACTTGGCTCGAGGAGGGGGCATATGGTAATGGCCTCATTCAAAGAAATTTTCGATTTCTCACATAATAGCAAGGGAAGACTCTAACTCTTAAATTGGTAGTCCACAGGGACAGTGGTTGATATATTCTACAAGCCTTGTTAATATTTCTAGAGTCACAAAGTGATGTGGGGAAGAGTCAGGTGAAGGGCTCACTTGCCCCTCCTGCTAGTGAATCTTCAAAGTTTTCAAATTTTTTTTAAAATTAAAATGACATCAAATTTGAAAATATGGAAATTGATCAATTTTACACTGCAGAGACTGCAAAAGGGGGGGGGGGGGGGGGGCTAGCTTGATGACACTGTCAAGGAGAAGAACTTAGTACTAAGTTATATAGAACTTGTTTCCAATCCTTTTGATGTATTCAATAAAATATGTTCAAAACAACACTGTTAAGTTTAGCTCAGCCTTGACTTTTGGCTGTTATAGGCTAATGAGTGAGCATTATAACATGCAATCTCTTAAACCTTTGGAGATAGAATGGCATAGATATTTCACTTAGTATCATCAAATAGTGAACACTAATGTTACATTGCCCTCTGTAAGGCTACTCTGACATACCTAGCTCCTGTATATGTCACGAGGAGTGATGGCTCGTTAGCTTTTTTGTCTTTTTCACCAGAAAACTTTGGGCTCTCTTCATTCTGTACTCCATATGGATAATAAAAGTATCGGCTAGCTTCATATGTAAACTTGCAAAGCTGGAAAATACAAGTTTCATTTAATTTATAAGACCATTTCAAATCTTGAAAAAATAACTACAGCCTACTCCACCTATACTGAAATCACTTACTTTGAAATATAGCTTATTTTGAAACTAGAGGTACTGTGAGCACACTTGGAACTCACAAAATGATACCCCCCCCCCCTTTCCATGAGTATAATGGCAAAGTCCATTTTTAGCTATGGGAAGCCCCACATATTAGTCTGATCTGAACATGAAATAAGAGGTGCACAATGACACTATGTAATAAAGATAAAGATTCTGTGAAATGTTATTCAGTGGAACAGGAGTTGCTGATAAGAGATGGGTACCTCCAATGTTCTAGATCGAAAGAACGGCAGTGTCCATGTTTTACAACGAGAAACCCCAAATATGTGTTAGATCGAAAGTAAAACAAGAGGCCCATGGGCCACATCACTCACCTAAGCACATTGGCTAGGAAAAAGCATAAATCACTTCAGTATTGAAAAGTTTAAAAGGGGGGGGGGGGGGGCTTGGATTTTGAACTACCTGAGGATGCTTTCATATCAATATAACAAATGGCTTTGCTGTTCTTGAGCAGCAGATTTTAAAGATTTTTTTTCCCTACATGTATATATTCCATTGATAAAAATTTGATCCCCCATTGTGGACCCTCCCTACCCCCCCCCCCCAATCATTTGAACAAATGTGAATCTACACTACCTGAGGATGCTTCCATATCAGTATGACAAAACATGACTTTGCTGTTCTTCAGAAGAAGATTTTTAAAGTTTTTTCCTATATATTCCTATATAAAACTTTGATCCCCCATTGTGGCCCCACCCTAACCCTGGGGGTCATGATTTGTTAAATCTACACTATCTGAGAATGCTTCCATATCAATATGACTTAACAAGGCTTTGCTGTTCTTGAGAAGAAGATTTTTCAAGTTTTTTTTCTGTATATTCCTATGTAAAACTTTGATCGCCCATTGTGGCCCCACCCTACACCCAGGGGTTATGATTTTATACAAACTTGAAACTGCACTACCTGAGGATGAATCCACATCAATATGACTAATTGTGACTATGTTGTTCTTGAGAAGAAGATTTTTCAAGATTTTTTCTATATATTTCTATGTAAAACTTTGATCCCCCATTGTGGCCCCACCCTACCCCCGGGGGTCATGATTTGAACAAATTTGAATCTACACTACCTGAGGATTATTCCATATCAATATGACTAATCGTGGCTTAGTTGTTCTTGGGGAGAAGAGTTTTAAAGATTTATTCTTATCTATTCCTATGTAAAACTTTGATCCCCCATTGTGGCCCCACCCTACCCCAGGGGTCATGATTTGAACAAACTTGAATCTACACTATGTAATGAAGGTCTCACATAAGTTTCAACTTTTACAAACCTGTGGTTCTTGAGAAGAAGATTTTTAAAAGATACCACCAAATTTTCACTAATTCTTAATTATCTCCCCTTGAAAAAGGGTGTGGCCCTTCATTTGAACAAACGTGAATCCCCTTTACCCAAGAATGCTTTGTGACAAGTTTGGTTGAAATTGGCCCAGTGGTTCTGGAGAAGAAGTCCAAAATGTGAAAAGTTTACAGACGGACGGACAGACAGACAGACAGATGGACAGACAGACGGACGACGGACAAAATGTGATCAGAAAAGCTCACTTGAGCCTTCGGCTCAGGTGAGCTAATAAGAGGCACACAGTGGCACCATGTAATAATTAAAGATTCTGTGAAAGTTTCATTAAATATTAATCAGTGGTATAAGAGGAGTCACGGATAAGAGATGAGAATACTCCCAAGTGTTACAGACGTATGGACAGACACCCCCATCACAATATAGCCTTGTTTTTCAAGGGGCGGAGGGGGTAATAATAAAACTAAATCCCCAGTCTCAGTTTCTCATTATCTTTGCAATAAAATATTGGTTTATATTATAAACCTGCCAAAAATTGTTTATGTTGAATTATTGTTCATTTTGAAGTAAATTATCTGTCCCTTAAGTTGATAATGTGTAACAATTGCTTTATAACATTTACACTGAAGTTTTCCTGGCCAGTCTTCATCATGGTTGGTGACTTCTTAATCATACAGATAGATGCTAAGGTGTAAATAAATATATTTTCATATAATGTGTTTTCAGTGCATATTTCTATAATAAGAAATAAAGTACTGAGGGATATCTATTAAATTTCTCTCTAATCATGCATTGACCATATTTACAGTGCTTTTGAACACAAGCTTGTCATTTCACTATTCAACTTCATAAATTTTGCAATGATGAACCATGCAATTGGTTGAGGTTTGTTTGTGTACTTGTTTTATAGATCGAGATTAGGATTTGAAAATGTCTTCACCAACCATTTTTGCTTATATTGAACTTTGATTATATTGAACAAAATATGTTGGTCTCTTGAATTTTAATAATTATCCGAAGTAATCTGTATCTTAAAATTTATACAAACCACAAATAAATATTTCAAAATGGTGGGCTACAGTATTATAAATGTAGATTCAGGTATTACTTATTCAAGAATCGCTCTGACCAAAATTTTTGGCATGCTCCGATGATGACCAATATTATCATCTCTGAATTATCATTTCATTTAAAATATTAAGCAGTTACCGTTACATAAGTGCATCCATCTCCAAATCTTTTACCGTCATCTTGGTGTGGATTTAGGGGTTCGTTGAATGGCTGACAGGGATTGTATGTGTAATTGTAAGACTCTCCATTGTTTTTAAAGGTTGAGTAAAAACTGAAAGACATATATGCATGATTTGCAATTTTCATATTTTGCATTGCAATTTTTTAAAAATTCCTTCATACAGCTAGAAATCTAAATAAGTCAAATGCGCTGCAAGTACATAAATTATGTGTAAAATAAAAAGCATGGATAAAATAATTCTTACTACAAGATTAATAGCTTTCTGAAAGTATGAAGTTACCTTCAGTATTCTCTACAAATGATTTTAATGCTAATGTTAAAATCTAACATGGTATTTAGCTACTGATTTTTCCCCCTGTGATTTGTCATAGCCATATAATGTGAGTAGTATTAAATGGTAATTCCAACATTACTCCACCCAGTCAACTTGTCATGTGCAGATTATTATGCAAGGCCTCAAAATTTATCTTCGTCTTGTACTCTTTGACCATCCTTCACCTACATATAGCCAATATTGATTTATTGCATGAGTGTAAAAACTTCAAGCAATAAATCTAGATTTTCTAAAGTTTATTTCTGTTAAATGTTTTCTTTGCTAAAATGGTTTTATATTTGTAACTTAGAAATTTCCTCCACTTCTTGTCATGTTTTAACTTTTCTAAAAAAACATTTTAACAATTATCAGAATTATCAATGGGACAAGACTTTAATGTTATTAATAGATATTGTAATTAGCAAGAATTTGTATGTTGGAATGTGTCTGCATTGAGAGAAATCAAAATATTTAAAAAATCTAAAACACAAAATAGGTCAGGATGTTAGAGTGAAATATTACACCCGACTTTGTGAAAGGGTTAACTCTATTGAATTAGCCACATGATGCATGCAGACAGGTTAGAAACTTTCATTGTAAGAATTACACCTATAAAATGCTATAATTAATGAGATCGGTAGACTCATATAGTAGCTGAATCCTCGAATTTTCACACTGGGGCTTGTTCCTGGTGTAAAAGAAAATGTCAAAATCAAGACCATGCTTTAATTTTAACAGGTGTTGAAGGTGATAAAGTTTTATCAGAGACATAAACTATTTATTTATTAACACTTCTGAGAGGAAGTCTTGTTGTTTACTTAATTCTTGTATAGGCCCTATATAAAGTTCATAATGTTGATAGTGCTAGCAGTTGTTGGTAGGATAAATTAACATTCTTTAACATTACACACCGGGAACAAAACTTTGTGTTTTTCCCCTCATTGCAGTTTGCTTACCTGGCGAGTCCATCGGTTCTTTTCAGCGGTTCCAAGTTAATTTCGCCGTACCCATCCACAGTTGCTGAGCAGGGCCCAGTTCTCGATATAGATAAACCACCCTCGTCGTTATGCACTTCATTCAACAGCGCAGAGTATGCACAAGTTGATATCAAGAGTAAAACAATAAATATGAAATACATTTCTACTTCCAAACACCATCATATTAGGGGCCTACAAAACTGTTTGTAATAGTAAATTTTCCTTCTGACACAACTATAGACATTGACATATTTATAGAAAACTGGGTCATCGAGCAACTTACATTTGATTTACAGCTTTTCGAGGAAAAGTCACGAGGAGTTCTGCAAGCACATCAGCTGATTTGCTCGATTTGTGTACAAATATGCAGCGAAGCGTGAATGGTTACGACGGATTTAATATCTCCGGAAGAAATCTAACAAACATAATAAATAAAAGGCTTTTACATCTTATTAAGGTATTATTAAAATCAATATTGATTGAAAATCTATAAAGATATAAAAAGAAATAGAGCGGAACGTAGCATTTTTTTAAAGTGCGTGTAAAGGGACCGGGGGGGGGGGGGGGGGATAAATGGCAGAAAAAAAAGAAATACATGTAGACATTTTACAAAACTCCTCAAATCTTTATTATTTTTGGGGGGAGGGGGGACCCACACTCTCATTTTCTGCAGAAATTTAATTGATGATGCCTCAATGAAATTCTCACTTTTCCAAGTGCGCCAAGATTCCTACCAAATGCCGATCAAAAGCGCCCTCGTTCTTTAATTTTTGGCTCATTGAAAGTTTTTTTTCTTTTTTTCCCCTCAGTTTCTGGCATATATATACTAGATCGAATATATAATTATAATATATTATTGGAGGTGAAGACAGTGATATCTTTCATACAAAGTTGGTAAATTATAATCTATATAAAGTATATGCCTATCACAGGCACTTGTTTCGGTTATTTTTTTTTTAACCCATAGTATAATAATAACATATTATATAATAATAACATATAACACATAACATGTTATTATTATACTATGGGTTAAAAATTTATTACCGAAACAAGTGCCTGTGATGCCTATTCATACTTCTGAATTAAATTTTTCATGCACCACCGCTGAAGTTGAGTACTTCTGAATATAGGAATTAATCTGCCCATCGATAATTGTGTTTTATTGTGTTTTTTTTATTGCAGATTCATTTTGCGTTTACTTTTTTACCCCCCCCCCCTTTCCCCTTTATGATTTTTTCCTGCATGGACTTGATTTGTTCAGAGTCATGTTTTCATGGGGAGAAACTACAGCAAGTGTAGGTTTAAAATCAGATCCTTTGATCCGCTCACATAGATCGCTACACTTTACAAACTTCATATTGTATTTATAAGGTGTCGTTTGATTATCCGTTATATCAAAATTTCGAATTGTTGATGTGAGTGCACGAGGACTCGTACTGCTAAGTACATAAACTACACATAAATCAAATACAGCTAGATTGCACAATATTTGTTGCATATGTGAGCTAGGGCAATGAGCGGTCCCTTCTCTAATAAATCATTTTCCATGGTAGTGCATGACATGCCCAGAACACAGCAGATTGATGCTGGTCAGCAATAATGCATCTCTGTTGCCTATACAAGCACATGTGGTTGGGGACGGGAACACCCCCACCCACCCGATCTTCCGTACACCAATGGTTTCTCGACTTTTTTAAATAAAATATTTTTTACAACACGTTTAAAAAAGTATTACAATTGAAAAATCCAAAATATAACCTAAAAAACTAACCTTTTATAAAAATTCACACTCTCTGACACGAAAAGAGAACAAGGTTGCGAACTTCGGCAGATGTTTCGACACCTCGATGCAAACGAGGTCCATGGGCCACATCGATCCCCTGAGCACACTGGCTAGGATCGCTCACCTGAGCCAGTGGCCAGGAAAAAAACACAGGCACTTGTTTCTGTAATAAATTTTTGACCCATACTATAATAAGTCTTATTATTATAGTATGGGTCAAAAATTTATAACAGAAACAAGTGCCTGTGGAAAAAAACAGAAATAAGTTAAGTATTGAAAAGATTTAATATACATATGTATGTGGTCCCAAAAATCCCTCCGGGAGGGGGAGGTATGATTTGTTCAATTTGAATCCACACTAACTGAAGATGCTTCCATGTTTCTTTGACTAATCGTGGCTTTAGAGGATTTTTCCTCATGTATTTGATTTTCTATTGTGGCCCTGGACATGATTTGAACAAAATTAAATCTACACTAACTGATTGATTGATTGATTGTATGTTGTTTAACGCCCCATTCGAGAATTTTTAGAGACGTCACCGTATGCCGGTGAAGGGCTTCTAATTTAGACCTATACTCCGGCATTCAGGGCCATTGAGCAATGAGGGTTCTTTATCGTGCCAACGTCTACCGTGACCTCGGTTTTTAAGGTCTCATCCGAAAGACCCATGACTTCACTTCTAGTGCCTGGCGCTTCGCTACCAATTTTTACGTCTTAGGTTTGGCGCGGCGCGGCGAACGAGAATCGAATCCAGGCCTCCCGATCACGAATACACTATTTGAGGAGGCTTACATATTTGACTAAACATGGCTTTAGAAGATTTTTCAAGATTTTCTCCCATACGTTTGATCTTCTATTGTAGCCCCACCTTACCCCTGGGGGACATGATTTGAACAAACTTGAATCTACTATACGTGAGGATGCTTCTGAATTAATACAACTAAACATGGCTTTGCAGTTCTTGAGAAGATTTTTAATGATTTTTCCTAAATATTCCTTTGTATAAGTTGATCCTCTGTTGTGGCCCCTCTCTACTCCTGGGGGTCATGATTTGACAAAATTGATTCTACATTACTGAGGATGCTTCTATATTATGTCTTTGATGTTCTTGAGAAGAGTTTTATTAATTTTTCTATACATTCTTAAGTATTATTTTGATCATGCATTGTGGCCCCATCCTAGCCCCGGGGGGTCATGATTTGAACAAAACTTGAATCAGCACATCCTGAGGATGCCTCTGCATAAATATGACTAATTATGGCTTTGCTGTTCTAGAGAAAATTTTCAAAGATTTTTCCAATGTACCGGTATTCCTATGTAAACCTTTGATCTCCAATTGTGACCCCACCCTACCCCCAGGGGTCATGATTAGAACAAACCTGAATCTACACTACTTATGCCAATAATATTTTTACTAATTCATAATTATCTCACCTTGGAAGAGGCCCTTCATTTGAACACACTTGAATCTACCTTAGCAAAGGGTACTATGTGCCAAGTTTGGTTGAAATTGGTATAGTGGATCTTGAAAAGAAGTTAAAATGCCTGCTGCCAGACAAAATGTGATCAGAAAAGCTCACTCAAGCCTTCCACTCAGGTGAGCTATAAATGAAAGTTACTTATACCCACTGGACTTAAAAGGTTTCCATTGTATCTTCAGAGATTATTAATAATCGCAAATTTGTGTCCAGTTGTTAATTCCAAACCTAGGAATTTTTGTGTTTTACATCTGTGACTTGTCATTTCAATTGTCAACAAATGGAAGTCATCATTTTTCTATTTCTACCATCAAATCTATTTTACTTTCCAATGTGAAGTACATTTACTGTATAAATGCTTCATTCTTCTCCGCCAATCAAACAACTGGCAATGCAACCATTCTTGCTTCTATGAATGATATTGCTTGTTTGATGTCAAATAATCGAATAAACATTAATTCTTCATCAATAGTTGTTCAAATCAATGATTAATCCATTATTCATCAACACACCCCACCCCCTCATATTAAAATCTACATGACACAATCTGAGCTAATTCAAGCCTATAACCATTGGAAGATTTGAACATTTGTATATATTATATGGAAGCTTCCTTATAAACTTATCATCTCAGGCATAGAGGTTCTGGAAAAGATTATTTTATTTGACCCAAACTTTTATTCTTTCCATTTCTTTAAATTCTCTTTTTGGGAGAAACACAAAGTTATATTCCTCACTGAGGTGGGCTTTATGGAATATGTCAGAACAGGGCAAATGTTGTTCACAACGCAATGTTCACTGAAAAGGTTGTTTATTTCTTAAATAAAGGACAAAAACACAGACAAAACTGAATCTGGTGACCTAAAAATAAAATACACCTCCAGTTGGATAGAAAATCAGAACATTCATAAAAACACATCATTTAAGGCACATAAAGAGTTATTACTGTGACAATTTTTTTAACAAGATGCAAAAACAAATCACTTACAAAATACAATGAACATTTATGAGAAACCCACAAGCCTTGTTACCTGAGTGTTGTTGAAAATAATATTAAAAATCATTGTCAATGCTTAAAATAAATAGTATATAAATAACAAATTCTTAATTCCCATAAACCACAGTTACAAAATAAAGAATCACCTTTATAAGAATATAAACACTTGTATCTTTTGATATGCAAAAAGGTTAAGGTGTTCATGAAATCAGTTACTGTATCTTGTCATTTTTTTTGAATACCTATATTCAAAAGGCTTGCAGAACTCTACACAATGGGGATGTGAATTAAACAATTAAAAAAAAAATTTATCAAGTACCGTACATGTGTTTGTTAATTTTAACATATGACTCTATCTAGAGATATGGACAAAAGATCTTTTTTAGCATGCTGAAAGTTTAATCATTGACCAACCTTTATATCTAAAATGAGGGTGTATAAAACATACAAATAGATACAATTTACAGTTCAAAGTTAATATAAATCATTCTGGCAAAACTAATAAAATATGCAATAAATAAATATCAAACCTCTAAAGGAACTACAAGTAGACATCTTAATATGCATAAAATGCTCTACGCAGTGCATTATTACATGGGCCATTTCAACATTGAATTTTGTGAATTATGACCACCCACCTGTCATGCTGTAAATTTCATGTACAGGTATTGGGTGTTTGTTCTCAAATTCAGTCTAGCTACCCTTTCATTACATGATTACAGACGTTTGTTGTGTGCATGATTTATACCCTAGCTAAGCATCCAAATGTACAAATCTTAGTATCACATGAAGTAAAATCAGTCAAAAATAATGCTTCTAATCTAAAAGGACTGGAAACATAATAAAAACTTACCTTAGGGAAACTGGGATCTGGTTAGAGATCCAGAATTTTGCTAACTACTAAAACAATATTCTTCAACTCTTCAACTTCTCTGTTTTCTAATGGTTGTTTGAGCAATAGAGTAAGAATATGAACAGGTGCTTCACTAAATCCTCTGCAGTAAGAAAAAGAAAAAATCAAAACTTAATCAAAAATCCCACACTTATGTCTGTAGTGGACAGATAAGAATGCCTAGTAGCTGCGACGGAAGTCAAGTGGGCATCAGTGTTGCTCCCTTTCCCTTTAACTGGTTTTACTGAAAAATAAAATGACAATATATTATTGATCAGACATATTAATTGAGCCCTCATCTCTGGTGGGCTAGAAATTCTGTTTAAGATACAGCAAACTAAACTGTTGTTTTCTGCAGTGTACTTACTTGACTGGTTTTTTGGATGTCAGAATAACTCTTGTTAGGAACATGTAGAGGATAGGGAAGCCGAGATAGATGACATGACCTGCATATCCCACCGAGGAGTATATCTGTAATAAAAGGATTGTCCAAGATAGATGTAGATATATACAGGCTTATTTTAATTCTTAACAAAAATTCCACATTACAATGTACTAGTACTCCACTCTATTGAGTTATAGTTATAATCAGTGTGAAAGCTGTACTAGCAGGACTAATCCCCCCTTTCCTTTTAAGATGAAAAATTATTTTTAAAAATTTAACTGTGTCCTTAGAATTCATTCATATGTACCATAAAGTTTGCCAAATTTTGATTTTAACATATTTCATCACTTCATTTTTTACACTGATAGGGAACTGTGGGATTTAAAAAAAAAAAAAAACTTTTCTCTTTCTTTTTAACTATTGGAGCTTAGGACATTTCTTACTAGTGACATCATACATGCAGCTGCTATAAATTCTTAATGCTTTTTACTCTATTATATTTCCTGGGTTTAGATTACAATTTACTAGTTTTATTGGAGGGGGGGGGGGGGGCATTTGAAGGGTAATTTTTGCATTTTATTCTTTTTTTTTTTTTTAATAAAGAACTATTTTATTCCCAGTAATTTGAAAATGTCATATTTTTCAATCAAATTCACAGACATAAACTGGAGAATTTTTTTTAAAAAACATGCCCCATCTAAGCAGGACATTTTTGTGCCACAAAGCTTCCTTACAAGTCTGAATGGAATTCAGTCTGAAACTTATCTACAAGCAAACAGGATAGAACATGGAAAGAAATGAAACGCTCTAAGAATGACAAAGCAAGTGTTTGTACCCCAGACAAATTCTCTTTCTGTAAAAATGAACAATCACTTACCGGTAAAAACTTGTCATAGGTTAACATGCAGAAGCTGACTAAGGCATAACTTATAGAGAATGACACCAGTATTTTCTTGACCAGCCAAAGGAATGGTTGCAGAGTAATAGATCTGTTGAGCTCATGTAACGTAGAAATTTTATATTCCAGCACCATAATCTGAAAAAATGTAAGAAAATATTTTAATTGTACTGAATCATTTTTAGACATACATGAAAGTTTTTTCTCAAGATTATAAAAATTTACATGTACTTATTCCTTTGATTTTGAAATGATATAAAAATTTACTTATTCCTTTGATTTTGAAATGATAAAAAAATTTACTTATTCCTTTGATTTTGAAATGATATAAAAATTTACTTATTCCTTTGATTTTGAAATGATAAAAAAATTTACTTATTCCTTTGATTTTGAAATGATATAAAAATTTACTTATTCCTTCGATTCTGAAATGATATAAGAATTTACTTATTCCTTCCCCATGTGGATATTTTAACCAAATAATTCATAAAATTTTAAAATTATCAGCTGCTGTAAATTTTTACTACCTGATTTTCGGTGTTGACCATGATGAACTCTAGGAAGAAGTTCATATAGTACCCTGATGCTAACCCATGCCATAAGGCAAGATACACCAAAGTCACAGCCTGCGATATTAAACGATTGCCTAGAAACTGTAGTCTTTTGTATATGTATCTGAAAAAGAGTCAATATTTTCAAAAAATCTGGATTTTAGGCCCCAGAATTATGAAGCAATTTTAGACTTAAGTCAGAATTTGTACATGCCATAAATATTTATTACAGAAAACACAAATAATTTGAAATGCTATTAGAATTGTTTCCCTTTCATGTTGTTTATTTTCTATTTTCAAGTGTCACTTTATCATATTCATTTTATGAATGACTGAAATTTGAAGTCGAAGACTGCTCCATGATCCTAGGACCATATTGAAGAAAGAAATTTTGCAAGAACATTTTCTGCAAAAATATTTAGAAGACAAACTACATATCAAATTACTGTCATCAACAGAAAAACACCCAACAAAATCTTGCAAAATGCAAATGGTATGTTATATATACTACCCTAGACATTCCCAGATCAATATTTATGGTATTGTACAGTCATTGTGAGTACTAAGTACCTAAACATCCAGTTATTGGTGTTGTGGTTGAAAGCCTCAATGGCTCCTTTGAATGTACTGCATGTCTCTAGTTGGTACAGTTTGACGTTAGTCACACCATCCCAGAGAATGTTGCCATTTTCATCTTTTCCATTGTATGACAGTCCCATTAGAATACAAATGCCCTCCTTTAAGACAAAAATAAAAAAATATATATAAAAGGATTAATTTTTCATACAATACTGCTAGCACTGCTTGAAAATAACTTTTAATGTCAGGTACTTTCCAAATTACTATTGTTTAACAGAGGACTATATATAAGGTTTGTGGTTTAATGGAGAATAATGGCTACAGATTTCTGTGATCTTTTATATACGGTATTCCTGAATCTGAACGAAGTTACAAATACAGAAGTTCACAATTTCATCTCTGTTTCTTTTGAAATTCTTGATACAACATGAAATTTATTTTCAATTTTTTACTAAGCCATGAGGTTTATTAAAGTTTACTTAATTTTTCACAAGCTCAATAATAATTTGACCAACCTGAGGCATAGAGTTTGCAGTATTTGTACCAACTGTAATCACAGAAAAGTAAGAAAAATAAACTTACACAGATAAGCCAAATTCCCACATATTTTCTGAAATGAAGCTGTCCCCACACCAGTATGTAGGCACACTTGGTCAGTAGTCTTAAATCCTGCAACCATAAATCAACTTATTTATTATCAGTTCATTTATTACTACTGTATACAGCTTTGATCTGACTCATGGTTATTTTCTCATTCTCCAAAAAAATCCATTAAGACTCAAAATTGAATATAAGTTTACCTGTCCCCTTTTAAAATACCTTGTGCACGGTGGCTAAAAATATATTTCTTAATTCTTATCATACATAAACCTATTAATATAAGTTTTTTTCAACTTTGTATTTGTGGCTAAATAAGCTGTCCCTTCATTTCCCTTCTGTTTGAAAGGGTATACACATGTACTGAATACTGTAAGTCGTTTTAATTCCACGGTGTTAAAATTTCACAATTTCTCAAAAAGTACCAATTGCGATGGTTTTAATTTCATGCTGCAAGAATTTAATTTAAATTTTGTATAAGCATTTTTAAAAACTATTGATTGCATTCACGATGGGTTTAATTTTGCGGAAAAATAATGAATTGCAAACATAGTGAAATTAAAACCATTGTGATTATTTGCCAATCTACAGTATTCAAGTTGACTTTTTTTTTATTTTTTGCTTTTATTTTAAATAGTACATAAATCAGATTCAGTTATTTTTTTTATACATGAAATAAAGTCCATCAAAATCATTTAAGCATTGGACTGGATTTTTGTAGCTTCAACCAGACTGATTAAGGACTAACCTGATACTGTGGTGTGAAGAAAAAGTCATCAGTAAACAGAATGTTACCAGTCTGGAACAGGACAATGTAGAGTAGACCCAAACTCAGTCGGGTCAGGGCAGGACCCACACTACAAATAAAAGTAATCAGTAAACAGAATGTTACCAGTCTGGAACAGGACAATGTAAAGTAGACCTAAATTCAGTCGGGTCAGGGCAGGACCCACACTACAAATAAAAGTAATCAGTAAACAGAATGTTACTAGTCTGGAACAGGACAATGTAGAGTAAACCTAAACTCAGTCGAGTCAGGGCAGGACCCACACTACAAATAAATGCAGTATGTTGAAATCTATAACAATCTGAATTAATATATTTAGAAAAGAATAAACTTTTTCGAGATACTGGGAACACAACCTCCCTAGAAACAGTTTGGAGGGGAGAACAGGAATCACCTTATCCATCTGAATGTACTAAGTACATGTATCATGTTCATGCCAAAACGCAATATAGAAACACTTGGATGCTCATACTTGAAAAAAAAAAATAATGCTTAAGACCACAGATTATACCATGACCTTGACCCATTATCATTGGCAAATTCAAGGTCACAAGCAAATAAAAGTACTAGATCTGTGGTGTTCTTTGCTTCAATAAATTTTGAGTGAATGATCACTTAAAAGATCTGAAAGTGTGTCTTGACCAGTAGCTTTTTGCACACCTCCCAAGTCATTGGCAAAATATTGATAAATATTGATAAATATTAATTTTTCTCTTGAAGAAGCTCACAGTGACAAATGGATGGATTGCTCATGAAGTGATATGCCATGATTCTGAAAAAACATCATTTGGACAAGCTCAAAAAAATTCATTTACTGTCTGGGCCATATTTTTGCTATAGAGAAACACTGAAAACACACTTTAAGAAAAAAGTTTACTTTTGACCATGGCCAGATGGTTTGCCAACAGTAACCAAGGTTATTTAGACAAAATTCAAGGGCTTATGTTGTTTCATACTACTTCAGAATGTGATATGCATCTGTCTTGCTTATTTGAACTAGGTAAAGATTACTTGGGAGGAATTGGGGGGGGGGGGGGGGGGGTGATAACATCATAGACTTTTAGTTATGTTGGATCCTTGTCAATTATCTTAATGACATTACACTTTCTTATCCTTAATTTGACACACATTGTTTACCTTGCAGGAGGATAGTTTTGCATTTCTTTAGAGGCATCTTTAGCCATCAGGGCACTAAACTCTCCTCTTGTGAAAGCCAAATATTTTCTCATCCCAAACTAAAAATGATAGCACAAGAATTGAAAAAAAAACAGCACAATTTGTACAGGGAAACCAGTTGTATTTGTCTGTAAAGAAAAACATGGCTCTAACAAATAGACCAGCAGCAATAATACTGAACTAGGGTAAGCCTGTTTACCTGTGGTCCAGCTAACATCCCACCAACGAAGAAGGAATGGCCACACATGGCCAGAAGAGAAGGAAGGTCTGAGATATAGTTCTCTTTCTGATCCTTGGATAACTTATCCTATTGAAGAATAAAAGAAAGGCTTCTTAAAGTTAATATAAAAAGTCTAGATATGTCTAAAAACAGACACTGCTACATGTATTTCATTTACAAATAAAAAAAAATGTATATATAGACATGGAAAATCTTCAGATTTCTCATGATGAGAGTTTATAGCATATTTATTTTTATTCTTTATTTTTGCAGATTTTAAATTTCTTTTAAGTTAAACCTGAACTTATATGAAACATGTGTACATGTATTATAAACTGCCAGTAAAATGCAATAGGAGATATGTACTCCATAAAAAAATATCTGGAAACAACAACAAGATGACAAGCTTAGACAAAAAGTATTCCTTCCCTAATCTTACAGTAACCTTCTGGTTGCAGTCAGTTATTTAACTTAGGAAGGAAGTGATAAGCCTGACAATTCACACTAACTTCCTTGAGTGCACAGTACACTATTATAATATATTGTATTTCACTGTGGGATAAACACAGTATATGTAGAAAACAGAAAATTTTTAAAAATTATTTCATTACAGTTGACATAAATTTAAATAATTGACCTTTGTTACAGATCTAGAATCTGAGGATTGTACCTTTGATTTCTTTCCATCGTAATAATCAATTACCAGTGCAGTCAGCCTCAGTGTTAATACACAGTGCGGGGTGCTCCATGTTATCGCATAGCCTTCCTTGGCTATTTGTAAATATCCATACAACAGATAACCCTAAAAAAAAAAATAAAAACAAAATCATAATGACAAAAGTAATAAATCTCATCCGATATGATTAAGTAGTGACAGTTTTTTTACTCTGTAAAAGTAAGTTTATTTATTTATAAAGTATACAGAGATCAATAGCTGAGCTTCTCCAATGCATGCAAGTAAGAAAGATCCACCATAGAAACTGTCTCATGCATGTTGTCTCATACAGCTTACTTAGCAATTTTGTACTGCTAATTGGAAAAATTGTTAATTAAGCTTACAAATATGATTAGTAAAAGGACATGATGATATGTACATCTGATGACACGGGTATTTTTAACTCCTCTTCAAATAAATCCTGAATGCCTTAACTATGTAGATCCTCCTTAGGTCAGCATGACACCCGTTATGGCTTACTGTTAAACGTTTGATTAAGACATGCTTGGAAATATTTATGTGCAAAATCGTTTCTTTCATGTAATAAAAATTATATCTAGTAGCTTATGTCACAAATGAAAGATGTATATACATATCCATGTTCCACTGTTTAACTTGAGAGAATGAAGAGTGTAGTAATTTAATATATCTTCTATCTTTAGAGCCACTTGGCCTATGAAAAGACCTCATATGTAGTGCGGAATCAAATTCAGGCTTTGAGAATCTTGTCTTCACTTGAATCAGAAGTACTTATAAGAAGAAGTGCTCAAAAAGCTTAAATCAGATCCTTCATTAGAACAATGCAGGTCACATGCATTATATGAAACATGACTAGTTGTATTGTGCAGTGTACATGTCTTTTATCAAACAATGTTTTTGTTTGGGACATTGACTCAGGTGAACCAACTAACTGAAAGTGCCACTATAACAAATAAAATATCACTTGAATTGATAGACAATGTGGCAGTGAGAATGACTTTCATCCTAATGTAATGTCCCACAACAGCATGTTTCATCCCCTATGCTACATGCACAAGGTTATGGTAGATAGACTCTTATCTCTTTATAAGACTACTAAGAGATTATGATAACTTTTATGCAATCTTAAACAGTTTTGTATGAAAGACTTTAATAATCCTTATGCAATCTTAAACAGTTTTGTATAAAAGACTATAATAATCCTTATGCAATCTTAAGGTTCATAAACCCTCTGCTCATTCATATAAATTTTTTTCTTTAACTCTTACGATTTTACAAAAGAAATGTATTTGTTTAGTAAAAATCAAACAATTATAGCCTAGCTTGTGGGGCAAAATTGAACAAAAAAGACACTTCAACTTGACAAATTTATAAAGGAATAAATAGGCATTTATATCATTAAGAGTTATCTCTCTTATCAGAGTATCAATGGACCTTAAACAGTTTTGTATAAAAGACTATAATAATCCTTACGCAATCTTAAACAGTTTTGTATTCTCCTTTAATATTTATTGAACAGAAAATAAACAGCAACATCTGTATGTCAGTTATAGCCTGTGTTACTCAGACACCAGGATATTTGATACCAGTACCAAAAAAAAAAAAAAAAAAAAAAAAAACCATTTATAGATTTCCATTAAAATTTAAGTACTGCTCAATACATTTGATAATGAGCTGAAGGATTTATAAAGTTCTGCCCAAATAATAACAGCTAGAATACTTACTGAATTAAAGATAAAAGCAATGGCCACTGAAATCCTGGATCCACCAGTCACTCTTAGTAGAACACAGATCACAATAATATTGATGAGGGGATGAATAAAATATAACCCTGAAACAATACAAAAAGAGGCCATAACTTGCTTTTTTTTCAAACAAATGTAAAAAATCTCAAACTTTTTGCTTCCAATACAAAGATCTGAAGCTGAACAAAATTAAATTTAAGGTACTGTGAGCCCACAAAATTGTACCCCAGCTTCAATCTTATTTTTTAAAGTGCTGCATCCAATGTTTCTTTCTTTAAAAGTTATAAAATAAACTCAGATTATACAATTTTTCTACCAGTGATTTTGAACTTGTTCAAATGAACTTGGGTTAAAGCCCTGATATGGCCTCAGCTAATATTATGGAATCTTGGTGCCAAGAACAAGCTTCCAAAGTATCTCAGTATAACACAGTAAGGCAAGGACAGGTATTAAACATTTTCTCTGCCAGTGACATAATCTTATTGTACTTTGTGTAAAAAAAAAAAAGGTTTAGCTGCCATGTAGTTTTTTCTACTACTGTATCAAGGAAGGAAATCTACAAATTTTAAGGAAGCTTCACATTTTGCCTAGATCACACTAAGAAAATTTAGTATGAACCCTTTATATCAAATATGCAGCAATTCTGTTCTAAGGTATTTTCTAAGGTAATTGGTGATAGTGAGGCTTCCACTATATTTTTGGAAAATACAGGCCTATTTTCAATTGGGACTGGTGCCAAATTTGAGCCCCAAATCGACCCTAAAAAAATCACTGGTGTTCTATATCATGTTAAATTCATGGTATACTGAATAAATATTAGGGTTAATTCAATGTTTCATTAGAAAATAATTCTATGCTTTAAAACTTGATATTCATAGTGAGTGACCTATAATCATGACAATACATGTTGCAATGAAAGCAGTTTATATGTATAGTACATGTAATATGCAAATTTCACATTATGTCATCATGCATAAGACTTACCAAAGTTAAAGTAATACACAGCAACTCCCGTTAGAGTGAAGTATAAATGGTGAATGTTTTCATGTTTTCCATGAATGAAGGCACGGTGGAGAAATCCCAGAGGATACCCTGAAAGAACAACTCAAGATATAAAATAAGCAACAAACATTAAAATGACATCTCAATCAATTGTTATAAGTTAATTTCAATGTACTAGTAATCAGTATGATGTGTAGATGTATTTTTTTTAACCTGTGACGCATAAAATAGTGCCGTTTGATGTGGATGCCAGGATGAAAAAGGGTTTCTGGCTGTCTATGGCCTATATATATTGGTTCAGTAATAAAAGTGTTTACTGTATTTTTTTTCTCTTTCATCTTCACACCATCGGGGTACTTATCCACTCCTGGCCATTTTCTGATTTTTTTTTTAATTTGCTGACTGCAGCGATGTCTTTCAGGGAAATTACAAATCCTGATTGTTTTTCGTATCTTTCAATCAATCACATTAAGCCTTTCAGGGACAAAAAACCTTTAACATGTGCATTGAAGTGTCAACTGCTTACTTTCTGTTCACTTTTTATGACAAAATATTAAAGCTGCAATTTTTAAATTGGTGCTTCTTAATAAGAGACTGAAGCTGGCCTGAAAAAAAAACCAAAATGAAGTTTGTCATGAGTCCCACTGCCAAGACTAGACTCAGGACCTGGTCCCTGCCTTTGTGAGGATGGTGTATCTATTTTTATCACATTTTATTTCTCTTCTATGTTGAAAAGGTGGATACCTGGGCAGGCCACTGCAGTTTGATGGTTTATTTTGTTGTAAAAGTAAAAAAAATATGCGCACTAAGATTTAAGTACGAATCCAGACGAAGACAGCTTTCTTCACTGCATTGATTATTACGGTTATAATTCATAATTGATGAACTGTAATAATCAGATATATAAATAATAGTTACATGTTGCTTATAATGTCTCTGTTATAACACACTGTGGTCAGCTGGTGGTCGTGTATCCTCTCCATGTTATTGGACAATGATCAAATTTAAAGTTTTTTCCACGAGTCTCTAAACTAATATGCACCTCAAATGGATATACTTTTACCTACCTATAAACAACGACAACAGAAAACTAGTGGCTTGAACACTGGCACCAATTTGGGATGCAAGTGCACTCACAACATCGCTCAACATCTTCTGGTTTTCAACACGTTGTGTTGTATACAGAAATTTGCGCGAGAGTTTCCGAGTAAAAGCTTACCAGAGACGGGACTGTGTAAAAGAGGTATCAAGTTGAGGTCAAAAATCAGTGATAAGTAAATAGATGAGGAAAATAGATGAGAAAAAAACTTATCTATGTAGCTTCATCCGACAACAATAAAACGGACAGAATTAAAACAAATTGATTTACCATTAATTAATTATTTAGTAAGTTCTAAAAATAATTCAAACAGTTGTTAGAGTAGTTATAAAGAATGAAAGAAATCAAACCAATGAATAAAATAAGTAAATGAATAAATAAATAAATAAATAAAAATTAAATTAAATTAAATTAAATTAAATTAAATTAAATTAAATTAAATTAAATTAAATTAAATTAAATTAAATTAAATTAAATTAAATTTGAATTAAATTAAATTTGAATTAAATTAAATTAAATTAAATTAAATTAAATTAAATTAAATTAAATTAAATTAAATTAAATTAAATTAAATTAAATTAAATTAAATTAAATTAAATTAATAAATAAATAATAAATAAATAAATAAATGAAATAAATGTAAATGAAAAATAAATAAATAAATAAGTAAATAAATAATTTCTTTTGTAAGTAGCAAAGAGTAGAAATAAATCAAGCAAGAAGGGGAATCGCCACGCTAGATATGGCAAGAAATTAGTGCTGACTTTCACCTATGTTCGGTTGTAACCCTGTTACAAGACTACTTAATCCAGTAACAAAGGTTACATATATCTCTCAATCAAAGGCTGGTGGTCATTTAAATCCAGAAGGGGGTCTAAAAAATGTTAGGTTACACTGGTTATACTTTATTCCTTTGGTGACAATCGGTTACAATGGTTAGAGATCATCTGAAACCAAAAGGGGTCTTTATTTTTAGGTTTCACTTGTTAAAACTATATTCCTTTGGTGACAAATCATTTTAAACCCAATTGGGATTTTGTAGATACAGATGTAACCAGTGTAACCAATTATCAACTGAATAAATGAAAAATGCTGTTCATCGGAATCTTAAGTAACCTGTGTTACTGGTTAAAAATGAAGATAAGAACTTATCACTTTGTAACCACTGTAACCAGTGTAACCAATTGAAAACCTAATAAATGAAAAAATGCTCCCCAGTGTAAAGGTTATGTAACCCGTGTTACTGGTTACAATTGAACATAGGTCATGCCAAGAAAAGGTACGCATATTCTAGTTTTAGAGCGAACTCAATAAAAGCGGAATTAGCGTTAATCTGTGATTTTTCCCCAGGGAGATGTGTGCGAGGCAATTAATGTCAGCAGTTTTGAGGGAAGGATCTTAAGTTTTACTGGTTTGAAATTAAAGCTAGAATACTTATTATTTAGAAGCCTTTGCACCTTTTTTCCTGTTGTTTTTTTTTAAAGGGGGGGGGGGCGATTTTCCTTGCAAATCATATGCGGTTAAAAAAGTAAAAAAAGAAGAAAAAGAAAGTGAAATAAATTGTAGTGAACTAATTAACTGTTCAGTAAAAATTAGACGCCTTTCAAATTTTTCAGTGTTTATATATCAAAATATTTTTTTCCTAGCATAAATTAACATTGGGCACTATGAACTTGGTTGTTGTGGAAGTCTCGCTCCTTATTAAGGTATCATACCGCTAATTGACCAATGAAAATGAACTTAGTCAATTGTAGTTCCATACATATAAAATTATTATTTTTTCCTTTTGAATTTTTTTTCTTAATTTCCTTCCAGTCTATTTTTACAATTTTGGTACCTGTGTCTAGTGCATTTTACATATTTTGTAAATAAATAAAGGTTTTTGACAGGAACTATTTTTTCAGGGCATAGGAGGCTACTTCCTGGGGTAGAAGTTTATTTTTCTTTGACTAAGAAAACGGAAAACTTAGGATCCACCCCCTCAAATCTGCTGCCGTTAATTGTCTCGCCAGTGTTAGGGGAATATGGGTGATTTACATCAGTTACACTTTTATTGACTCCATCGCTGTGGAAAAATGGACGGGATTTCTTGGCATGGAAAGTCAGCACTAAATTCTTGCAAATTACAGTATGGCGTGGCACCACTTGGACATTCTTGCTTCGAATCTGCAATCTGATAACTGAAAAATTAAAGTGTGCACGGTTCAGAGTTTTACTCTGGCATCAATTTCCTTGTTAAAGAAAGACAATTTAACATTTGCTTACACGACAATCAACAAAATTCATTAAAGATTGGCTTTATATTCTTAAAAACTCTAGATATTATTCACAAATGAAATTGCATTTTATTGACCAAATCTAACAAACGAAATGAAATGGGATAAAATTTATGCCAACATTTAAAACGGCTGTCGTATATGGAATTCCATATAAAATTGACCCTCAAAAAAGATTTCGTATTAATGGTTTAAAAGAATTATACAAACACATCGTAATTGAATTTTGAATGACTCATTGCTATGTGACAATGAGAATTAATAGACCTGCGGCATGTGATCTTTCATGATATCGGGTGGTTTCGGTACCATACCTTCGGTAATTTGCTGCACTCTTTTTTATGATGATAAAAATAATAAATCATATATTTTTTTAAAAATTTCTAATGTAAAGACTAGTAGGCCTAGCAAACCATTTATTAGTTTATAAATACATACATGTACCAATAATTAACTTATTGTCCGCTATTTCGATCTGGATCTAAAGAATGCCGACTATATATATATATATATATATATATATATATATATATATATATATATATATATATATATATATATATATATATATATATATATATATATAAAATCATGAAGTCCTGTACATATAAGAAAAAGAAGTAAGGGTCCCTATCCTAATTATCTGTTTCTTGCACTGTAAGATCGATGTCATAGATCATACATGCATACAGATTGAACTGATACGCGCATTAGCGCGTTTTCAACATTTGCATGGATATCTGTTTGATTTGTTCAGACTGGAATCAAGGCTTATGATCACAATTTAAAACGCCTTTTTGTGTTAAAAAAAAAATTAAAAAAAAAAACAAAAAAAAAAAACAAAAAAAATTGCTCTGCAATCATTATTTGCGTTTTCTGAGAGACATAAATAACATGTTTAACAGCTATGTGTGTCTAAAAAAAATTAGATTGTTTATGATAGAATTAATTATATTGAGGGCTCTGTATAATTAGCTATTTATGGCTCTGATTTGTTGCCAAGAACTAGGTATTCTACCATTCTCTCTTCTACAAAACTAAAACACTGGGGTTGAATGTTCTATGGGGCGAATTTACCCTCAATCCTCTTGCAAACGTCACTGAAAAACTTTAAATGTAGTGTTGAATTCTCTAACCATTAAGCGTCTAAGTGACTGATGATAAAAGAACCCGGATAATATGACGTCATTCCCATTTATTCGCCATTATCCATTATAATTTTTCATCGACTTGTGGAGGAAGCTGGACAATTAGACCTCCTTAACTCTTTCCAGTTCTTTTCTAAGATAAAATGTAAGTTACACAGTGATGTTACATTGAGACAGTTTTTAATGCTTTGGACAACATAGTGTAGACAAAAACATTGCGAGTAATACGCCTCATTAGAAAATGCTGCTGAGACAAACCTTGATCTCCATCGGAATGTTATAGAATTCTCGAGCTGTTTGAGTTTAAGCATCTATACTAATTTCTGATATCGTCATCTTATCCCAAATCCCTGCATCTCTGTATTTTACATGAATTAGAAATTCAGGATTTTTTTGAATCTGCATGATGCACCCTACAACCTGACAACCGGAAATTTATTATAATACCCTATTCAGTTGTAGCAGACATATATTTGTGTCTCTGGGTAGTACTAGTAGAGACTTCTTAGCCTTGTTTACTCTATAAATACACACCGTTCTACTTAAATTTAATATATACCTGTAAGTGTAGTCAGTGATTAACTTGAAATGCAGCAATATTTTAAGGATGTCACATGTTGAGTGTCCTTGACTCAGAACTAGAGGTGTATGTTAATTATATATATATTATGTTGTGATTGAAAGTCAGACGAAATTAAATGATTTTGTACCACTTGTTTTAACATAGCACAGACATTATAAATGATTATTCAGAAATTAGAATATCACTGAATTTGAGTATTAAAGCATGTTCTATTGAAAATACAGAAATATGTGAAACTTGAAAATAAATGAAGACTGAATTCAAAGGTTATTAATTACTTGTGCATATCACTGCATATTGAGAACCTTAAGTTGGTGTCAATAATTTTTGTATGACTTGATTGCTTCCATAAGGTCTGCTCCTCCACAGAATCCCCAGGCTGGTCCAGGAGGACCGCCTATGTAAGTATAGCTGGGATTGATGTTGTCCAGTTTCAAATTTATCATGGCCATCTGCACAGAAGTACATTATTTATGAGTTCATATTTATTTATGAGTTATTTTAATTGATTTCTTAGAATTTAAATGACTTTAGAAATCTATATTTGAAGTATTGCACAACTGAACTGATTCAACAGTTAAATATGAGACACACTGAACATTAAGTAATCAGTACTAGTAATTCCAAAGAATTTTTAACATTTAGTTTGAGCTTAATTTTGAATGTAGATATCAAACAGTGTATATCAAGGGGAAAAAAAGTTGGGGGGGGGGGGGGGGGTTATCAGGGCTTCATAGTTCTCAAGTTCAGACACCCTGGTTATTTCATGTGATCTTGGCAGTTAGAATTGCTTTTAGTCCAACAGAATTGCCTCATATTGTATTCATCAATAGTATGCCAATGTAAAGTTATCAATTTAAGATTTCAACATATATATTTATTATATCTCATTTTATACTCTCAGTATTTTCATATTTTATTAGCTCATCTGAGCCAAAGGCCTAAGTGAGGTTTGCTCATATCATCTGTCCATCTATCTCTTTGTTAACATTTCAGATTTTCAACTTCTGCAGAACCACTGGATTAATTTCAATTAAACTTAGCACAAAGCATCAATAGGTAAAGGGGATTCAAGTTTTCTTAAATGAAGGGTCACACCCTATTGATAGAGGAGATAATCAAGAAAAGGCAAAAATACAGATGGTTGGCTTAAAAAATCTCCTCATGAACCACAGGACAGGTCAGAAAAAGATGAAACTTAAGTGAACTCATCTTGACATACTGTTAATTAAATTTGTTCAAGTTATGGTCCCTGGGGGTAGGGTGGGGCCACTATAGAAGATAAAAGTTTAACATGGAATATAAAGAAAAAAAAAAACTTGTAAAGTCTCAAGAACAGCAGGTCCATGATTAGTCATATTTATGTGCATGTATCCAAAGGTAGTGGTAAATTCAAGTTCATTCAATGAGGGGTAAGGTAGGCCACAAAATCATATCAGAGTTATACATTAGAATATTTAGGAACAATCTTTTAAAACCTTTTTCTAGAGCAGCATGGTCATGATTAGTTATATTGATATGCAAGCATCCTCAGGTCGTGTGTATTCAAATATTCCTGGGGGTAGCATGGGGCCACAATATAGGATCAGTGTTTTACATGAGAATATTTGGGAAAAAATCTTCTTCATGATTAAAGCAGGGCCATAGTTAGTCATGGTTAGTCATGTTAATGTGTATGTATCATCAGGCTATGTAAATTCAAGTTTGTGAAAGTCATGGCCCCAGGACAAGGAGGGACCACAACAGGGTATCAGTTTTACATGGCAATAAATGGAAAAATCTTTAAAAACTTCTTGAATAGAGCATCACAGCCATAATTACTAGTCATATTAATATGCAAGCATTCTAAGATAGTGTATAAGTTTGTTAAATTTTGTTCAAATCATGACCCCTGGGAGTAGCCTAGGATGGGTCCACATTAGTGTATCAAAGTTTTACATGGGAATATCAGACTGGGAATATATAGGGAAATCTTTTCTAGAACAATCGGCCATGATTAGTGATATTGATATGCAAGAATCCTCAGTTTCAGGGCTCTTGATTCTCTATATTTGAGGCCACTCAAAGGCCACATTTCCATTTCAAAAAAAGGATTTTCCTCTGAAAATTAAGAACTAAGGTATGTAAAAGCATAAATTTTCGTGGGGACAAAATTTTGTTGATTTGTCATTCAAAAAACTTCATGGGCATTTAATTTCAATGTTTTGAAAGTAACCCTATTCAATATAAAGTCATATAACAATTTCGTATGGGCTTTAATTTCGTTGATAATTGTCAACAACAAAGTAAACAAAATTTAATCACAAACAAATATTTCAGCTTTTACAGTATGTAATTACCAAACAGTAAAAATTGCTATTCATATATTCTTTTTCTATTTTGCGAAACAGAAGTTAAGTTAATAATAAACACCGGAGACCCAATATATAATGATTTTAATTTGTAGTGATTTTCACAAAATTCCCCAAAAAGATGCCAATTTCCCCAATTTTTGAGGCCCTGCAGGTTGTGTTAATTCAAAATTTGTTCAATTAATGGTCCTTGGGGGTAAGGTGGGACTACAATAGAGAATTAAAGTTAAACATGAGAGTATATAAGAAAAAATCTTTAAAAACCTTTTTCTCAAGAACAGCATGGTCAGATTAGTCAAATTCCTCAGGTCTTGTAGATTCAAGTTCTTTCAAATCATGGCCCTCGGGGATAGGGTGGGCCTGTGGGGCCACTGTTCTGAAAAACAGCAGGGGCCAAGGTGGGTTAGGTGAGCATTGTGGTCCATGGGCCTCTTGTGTTCTTAGGATTCTCAGAAAAAAAATCACTGAAAATTTATTTTTCAGATTACAGATTTATTTTATATCTTATTTACCTACTTTATTTTGATAGTCTAAAAACTGGTTGGTTTCCAATTACAACAACTTTGTTATTTTTTTTCTACAAACATTTATTTGATTTGATGTCATTTTGTTATGTTACTTAGAGAGGGTGAATGGCCTTGAATGAGACACAAACAGATGTTACAACTGTTGTCATGTAGACATACATAGTAATTTTGTTTTTATTGTATTATATATATATATATTTTTTATCACAATACCACTTTGTAATGTGTTAACAAGTCTTTAGATATCTATTAGTAATTTTGGTATTGAAATTTAATAACTAAAGTTGTAATGTTATTCAAGATATACTTTTAAGAGCTTTGTTTTCTGTTGTATAATTATGATGTATTTAATATATTTTGGAAAATTGTTTTCAGTACATGCTTGATTTTACTCCCATGAGCATTAGGTTTAATTTAATCAGATATTGCCTTAAAATTGTAAATAAACAGTGTTGTAAAGTTTATAATTATCATGATTATATGCATATGTGATCTTAATGAGCTTGAGATTTTTTCATGATTATAAGTTTGAAGAATTGACAAACTTATCCAATTAATTGCTTTATTTTGTGCTGTTTTGTAGGTCTGCTGCCGGAGGCCCAGGGGGGCCACAGCCCGCCCAGCCCAGCAAGCGCTTACAGCAGACTCAGGCCCAAGTAGATGAGGTTTGTGACTCTATGTGCATTTAATGGTATACAACAAGATAGGTGTAAAACTTAAGAATGTAATATATGTTACAACACTTTCACGGTCTTCAGAGGTAATATATTTGCTTATTTGCCAGAGCAATTTTGCCCAAGTGCCAATCATACTGTTCTACAAAGCAAACATCTGTGAGGACAGTTGAAATTCTGATTTTATGGAAGAAATGTTACAGGAACAATGTACAGCATAATTAGAATACCATATTAAAGTTTAGTTTTTTTATGCTAGAAACAATAAGTAGACACATCATGATTTGCATTAATTTTCCTCTTCCAAAGTATGCGGGAATCCATACACACAGTTTTCGTGGTTAGGAATTGGTCATTATGAATACATAAGGTTCTCTTATTGCTTACAACTGAACCTAGAAATCATTGTCTTATTTACAGGTTGTGGATATTATGAGAGTCAATGTTGACAAAGTACTGGAAAGGGACCAGAAAATTTCAGAACTCGACGACAGAGCAGGTAGAATTTACTGAAGTGTATTGAATTTCTGTATAATTGCTTATTTCTTCATGAAGATTGTCAATGAATTCACCATGAACAGTGGCATTAACTGTTTTCTGTTTTATAAGTATTAAAGGTTACATTTGCTGGTATTTGGAATAAAATATAGAACACCTTTAATGCACATTACCTTTTGACTTGTTTTGAGGTGTAATTATTTTGTACCAACAGATGCATTACAAGCTGGGGCATCACAATTTGAAGCCAGTGCTGGCAAACTGAAGCGAAAATATTGGTGGAAGAATTGCAAGGTATTTTTAACACAAATTTCTTCCTTTTACAAAATATTACTGAAATAAAATTAGTAATCCTTGTTAATTGATGAAAAATATAGCATAAAGGAACATTCCATACATCAATAATTGTGATTACGCAAACCTTTGCCTTGAATATATCTCAAAACAGCAGGGGTCCTGTATCATACCAATACTCTCTATGCTGAGCTCTAACAAACAAACAAAAAAAGATTAAATATGAGACCAAAAAATATTTTGAGCCTGGTCCAACAGTAACTAAATGACAAGTAATTTTATAACTATCAGTACTGTTTTTTATAGTTTTGTGCATGTAATCTTTTACCTAAAGTGAAAAATCAAAAAATCAGTCTTGAGCTTTATAAACAAAATTGCAGATGATGATTATTTTGGGAGTTATAATTGCTGTCATAGTAATTATTATTATTGGTAAGTTACAAAAAATATAGACTCGTTGATTACATGTTGAATCGCATGTTGTGTTACTTTCTGTTGTTTTTAGCAACAATTCTTTTAGTTTGGAATCACTTTCTGTGAAATTATGATCTTATAATGAAAATCTCTCATAAATTTTTATAAAGAAAAAGCTTATTTAAAATAAAAATCATCAAATCTATAAAATCCATGTCAAATGTTCAAGAAATTATATTTGATTAAATTAGAATTTGAAAGTTTGCACATAGTTGAATGAAATCTTCCCATTTTATAAATATTTTTTTAATTTAATGAAATGAAAAGGTAAAAAGTGTCTTTATATATATATATATATATATATATATATATATATATATATATATATATCGCATCTAGTAGTGTTTTATCATATTGTTTTGAAAGAACTTGTAAATTGTTGTTTTCTTCATTGACATGTTTCATGACCAGACTGTAAAAGAAATTATCTATTCCTTTGAAAAATTTGGTAGCTATAGAGCTAGTTCATGTCTCAGACATTGGTAAATTTGCATATGGGCAGTATAATTTATGTAAGGTTAGAGAGAGAATCAGAACAGACATAAGCCCTGTCATGACCAAAATTGCATGATTGATATCTCTTGGAATGTACACTACCAAACTTGCTTTAGATGCTGGATCTGACCTACATTTTCTGTATGAGTGACTAGGTTAAAGTTTTAGAACTTGTCCATGACCATCTTTGCTAGCCAAGGGTTTTTGAAATGCTACTCTCCTCATAAACCCTTGGCATACGGTGCTGACAAAAGACGGGATTGTTTTTGTCACATGATCACGATTCTTACCAGGTACGCACAGATTGCGTCATCGACAAAAATAAAAACCGTATTTAAAAGAATAATGTTTTTAAAGAATAATTAACAAGAAGGTATTGAGTTATGTTAATTTGTTATTTAAACATGTTAAAACGCAAATCTACATCTTCAGTATAGATTCTTAATCACATATTTTGCACATAGCTTAAGATATTGGATGACACCGTATAACTAATCATAGAATGGCATGTTATCATACGGATCGTTGTTTACTTGCGTTTTTCATTCCCGATATTAAAGAGTCAAGATTTATCCCAAACGCAAATATCGTCATTTACAAAAAAAATTGCTGATTGGTCGAACGATGTTGATCAACTCCAGTCACAACTTGAGAAAAAAATCCCAACTTTTTTTTAACACCATATGCCAAGGGTTCATGAGAAGAGTAGCGTATCAGAAACCCTTGGCTAGCGAAGATGGTCCATGACTTGAGTTCTGTGGATGTTGCATCTAGAGTTGCATCATACAAGACCTGCATAGGATGCTAGACCTAAAGGGCTTTTCTAGATGAGTACCGGTAACCAGATTTAAATTTATTCAATGTCCTTGCCCAATTTAACAGTCTTATGGTAACCTAACTTGCATATACATGTATGCTGGATCTAGGCATGCACACTACCAGAACTGATTCTTAAGCAACATGATTTCAAACAATTTTTTTATAATATAGTTAGGCAAATATGACGTAGGGCAGAAATACCCCAGCATAGTCATTTAAGAAATAAAATATCATTTTTAGAGTTTCATTGGGATATGACATGAAGTCGGTCACGTGATCAAATTCTATAACGCCCAAAGGGCGTTATAGTAGATTTGATCACGTACTGACTTTATGTCATATCCCAGTAAACTCTAAAAAATGATATTTTATTTCTTATATTTATATTTTACTTTTATTCGTGTTACAAGGAAAAATAGGCACTATTTACAATTTGTTATGGAAATGCAACATAATATACCTACGACGTCATGTGAAGTCACAATCGGAACTTTCCAAATGGCTCATGCAGTTTGCTTTCCATAAACAAGAAGGTCTGATCATGTGACCAACTGCATGTCATTGAAAATTGAATTTCAATTTAATTAGTATTGTCATATAAGGAAAGGCAATATATGCTATTTCCTTTTAATATTTGTTTTAAACAAATGCAAATCTTATTCTTTGCAGCCTGGTTATGTAATGTTGTCAGTGTTTTGGTTTCATTTATGTTTTTGTTTGTCACAATTTCTATTCTATTCTATGTGTTTGTGAACACTGATTTATTTATTTCCAGATGTGGCTAATTCTTATTGCAATTATTATAATTATAATCATAATAATAGTTGGTAAGTAAAATCGTTCTGAATGCAATATACATTAACTTGTTTATTACATACTAACCCTTTCTGTGAATCCATTCATTTACATTTCAAAATGAACAAAGATGTTTAAAATGATTTAAGATTTGAATAGAAAGCTGTTTAAAATCATTTGAGAAGTATATTATGGATGTTGTTTAACAGATAGCATTTGAAAAATGAAAGGATTCACATATTTTCAACTTTATGCTAGCATGGGAGAAGGTAAAAATGGTGGCTTGTTGCAATTGTAAAACTGATCTCTTGTTCATTCATGTCATGATAAACTATCATATTTACTACAACACAACGAATTAGATTTTTACAGAGTTTCGAAATTCTCTCTGCTGGAAACAAAATAAATGCTCTCTGCTGGAAACAAAATAAAGTCAAACCTCGTTATCTCAAATTCAATGGAGTTGACAGGGCTCTCACACCAGTTTTTGGGACTGGGGCTGGGGCCTAGAAAATTGGGAAAATTAGCGACCTTTTGAGGAAATTTGGGGAAATCATAACTAGACAATATCCATTAAATTCATTATATATTGAGTTTCTGGTGGCTGTTATCAACTAAATTTCTGTTTTGTAATATAGAGAAATGTGAATAACAAGTTTAGTAACTACATATTTTACTACATGTTCTTTAATATTTGGGGAAGTGACCAATTGGGAAAATGAGAACATTAAATTGGGAAAAAAGGTACCTTTTTGAATTGGGAATAGGGCCTTTAAACGGCCCCAGTTACAGAGAATCGAGAGCCCTGGTTGAAAAAAATGTATCGGAGATATTGGAGGATTCAAGTTATTGAGGTTAAAATACATAACACCTTCCAACTTACTTCAAGACATCAATGTTTGAGATACTGAAGTTTAACTATATTGCATTTGTCACTTAGCTTGATCATACCCAGTTTTAACATGAAATGTGGTTCTATTTTATTGCAAACTTCAGCCTGGGTGGCCTCTACTTATGGTTAAACATGAGAAGTAAGGTTCTGTGCTGACCATTGTAATGTTTATATGTAGTGTTACATGTAGTATTGTTCAGTCTGCCTCCATTGTAGATTGTCTGTATTCTACTGTGGTCTACATACAGTTTCAAATTATACTGGAATGCTATGTTGCACGGTCTGGATTTTACAAACCATATCCCTTTGATTAGATAATGGTTGTACAAAAATGTTAAAAAGGGATGGGGGAGGGGGGGATTATTACATTGGTTGTTAGACGGGTGTATATTTCAACTCATGAACATCACATTTGTAAACAAAATCATCCATTTAAAAAATTAGCTAAATTCATGTTCAGAGAAATTACCGTAGAGTACATTAGTTGGATGGAAAACAACTATATTCATTTGATAGTAAAGTTAAAAATTATTCAAGTCAATCCACCAGTAGAATAAAGAAAGAAGGATGCATTAGGGGGGAAAGTTACAATTGAAATGATACATTCTGCTTTATGTCTTTATCTACAATCCAAATCAAAGTGACCGTGCAGCAAGAGGGTATATAGGTTAGGTGTCTGTTTCTTCAGGGCTCACTTGTCGATATTAAATCTTTACGTGATCATGAAAAAGTGATCTCCCCTGTGTTGTACAGACTAGATGTTACATTAGATAATGTTAAGTATAAACAGTCTAATGTCGTTAAATATGCTTTCCTCTAATTCTTGCAGCTTGGGTGTATTCAAAATATGGTGGCTAAAGGTTGTTCTATGTTGTGTGTACAGTACTTAAATTTCCATGCTCTCTCTTTATTTGTTCTTTTTGGCTTCCTTAATTTATTATTTTGTAGATGATATGGAATATGTTTTAATAGCTCTTTTTAAGTGTAACACATGCTTTGAGGCACTCTTAGATATTTTAGATAATGACTTCAGTTTTGCTGTGACATGTTTAATTTGAAAAATATTTTGAATTGTGTTGAGATAAGGACATGTATAATGTATTCATAGTTTTTCATATTATATTAGATTTATTTGCAGTGTATAGTCATTAAATTTATTCTTAGTAAAAGATCTAGTAATTTGAAGGGACTTACAGCTTTCATATATCCTAAATTTGGCAGGTTAAATTTTGTATTTAAGAAAAAAGATTGATCACAACTCTTAAGAAATTTAATACTTTGTGAAAAAAGGTCTTTATGTTGTTTGCTCTTTGTGAAATGTGTAGTTATAAATACCCAAATTAAGAAGGATTTTCACAATCAATGAAAACAACATTCCACAATGCCCACAAAAGATGCTGTTCAGAATTCATTTTTCTTTTTAAGAGGAGATAGAATGATGGAGAGACCTAGTTTTGGGTTGCCTGTATCTCACTAATTGTGTCAAAGTTTTAAAACCCTTGATTAGAGATTATTCAAGATTTTAATCATTGATATTGCATACCATAAATGTTTGCTATTATCTAGTCTAAAATTGTGTTGGAGCTTAACTATGGTCATTATATCATAAGACAAGATCATGCAAAGAAATATCAAAATCTTGTTAAAAGTCTTGTTATGGTAATAATTTAGCATTTTTTTCTTTTATTTTAAAAAATGTATCTAGACTTTCATATCTCTTGAAGTGTCATGATTTCCAACAAAAAAATTGAAGTTTTTATACAGATCTTTTTTTTAATCATCATTGACAATGTACAATCTGCCCTGCATGCATGCTTCTTTAAATAAGGCAAATCTTATCCTTTCAGATGTATTCTGCTATTATTAACTCCATTATTTTGAATAGACACGGCACAAAAAATTATAACATTTGTATAGTTTGCACTGTAATATACAGTCACATACATGTAGTTATTAACTCAGTTATTTCAGCATATTTGAGCTTCACATTATGTGAATCTAAACCTTTGTCTTTTCTCACCTCAGTGTATGATAAAAAGAACATCTATCGGTAATGAATCTAACACAGTTGTATCAATGCAGTTTAGTTAACTGCATTACCAATATAACTTTGGCAAAACATGTACCAGTATTTACAGGTGCAAATATCTCAGGAGGGGACAACTCTAACCAAATGAATAAATGTCTTGCAATATTTTGATTATTTTTGTATCATAATTGTTTATTAGCCCTATGACCAGCGTTTGTGAAATCATACCAACATGCGTGAATCCTCTAACGTTGTTATATTTCTTTCCACAGTATGGGCAGTTACAAGCAACAGCAACAGCGACACCAGCAACAACAACAACAGTGGATAGATGGACTTCATATTTGGACACATCATTCATATTCCTGTGTAGTGCTTAGTTACATACTGTATGAACTATCTCTTTCAATATTACAACATTACACTTATGCTCTTTCTATTGTGTTAAAGTTTGTCTATCCAGATTCAAGGTTTAAAAAAATGGACTATGTCTTCAGATTAAAAAAAAAAATAGAGGAAAAAAGCTAGGACAGAAAACTACAAAAAAGTGTAGGAAATTTTTCAGAAAATAATGTGCGTAAAGCAATGTGATCAACTGCTTTATTATATATTAGATTTATTGAAATGGAAGTTTATCAATGTTCATCATGTGTTGCATTGTCCTCAGTTTTTATTTAACAGATTTTTAAATGCTTTCTGTTTCTGCAAACGAAAGGATGTGATTTAATTAATATATATATATAAAGCTCCTGTGTTGTGGTTTGAAATTAACTTTGTATCACCTTTTGTGTCTGAGTTGACAGACATGGGGTCTAGGCATTTGAATTTTTGTGTCATGAAACATTCCAGTTTTATTGGGGGTCATGTTAAAAGTTCAAATTTTTTTAATTGCAAATCGTGTTAATTGCTAATTGTAAGTTACATTGTATTTTGTCGTGCCATCAATGTCAAACGTAAATGATTTACAAAATATCTGCAAGTTACACAATTAATTACACAATCGTATGTCAAATTGCCCATATTGACTGGTATCTCTCTGCTAGAAAGATTAATAAGAAATGTAATTTGCAATGAATAATCTTCAAAACTGTATAATGTTAATCCAGAAAAGTAGGGTTAGTAGTTTAGTTGACTGTATACATGACTTTGAGCTAGGTGATTTCGTTAAGCTACAGTATCGAATTCCCTTATATGATTGTATATGTTTGTTATTTATTATTTAAACACTACTGTACAGGAACTGTTGATTTGTTATTGGGTGCACATAGTCTCTTCTGTTACTAATCATTGTATATATAATTATATGTGTATATTGGACCCCCTGTTTACAAACGTGTAAATAATTTATTCAGTTGGATTAACTTTCATAGCCAAACGTGCTGTTTTCACTCTGCCAAATGGCATGAATTGATGATAAACTTTATACACATGCTTGAAATCAATCATTATTTTCCATCCTGATTAATTTTCAATGATTAAAATTGTAAATTTTTAAAGAAAGGCATTTGTTCATATCTAGATGTTCTGTAAAATGATGTGTGTTTTAAGTGTGTAGGGTGTTGATTTTTCTGTGGATCTGTAGCTCTGACAGAGTATGTATATATCTATATATATATACTGGTCCCAGTGTCAGGCTATCACCTTGTGTAGTAGACATTTGTCTTGTTGATTCAGTCTTTGTCAAAACAATAGATTAAATGCTTAATGTATATAGGCAAACATAACCTGCTTACTGTTGTCTGTTATAGAAGTTAAAGGAATACAAGCAAAGGACAAGGTATGGGAACAGCTGAATCTGGCCCCTTATTTGATATTAAAATAAAAGCACTGTTAAAATTGTGATAGTTCTTGAGTTAGAAGTTTAAATGATGCTTTTTTATAACCAGCATTGATTTTATTCAAAGCATACTCGGGGCCACAAGAGGGGGACAAAGTGAAAATTCTACTGAATTTCCTTGATTTTGATGGAATTTCATCAAATCTGAGATACTTTTTACCTCTGAAGACATAGAGCACAAGCTAGCATATCTGTGATTTTAGCTTACAAAGTTACTATCCTCGAAAATTGTCTTGACACATTGTAAGACTTTTAATACAAAGGTTTCCAGTTAGGCTTATAGTGAAAAATAAAATTGAAAAGCTCAGAAGTCTATGGTTTTTAGCTCTTCCGAGCCGAAGGCTCAAAGAGCTAATGCTATGGCCATTTGTGCGGTGTGCATCAACTTTTTGGAAGATGGGCCATAACTCAAGAACCCGATGACCAATTTTTGTCAAGTTTGTCACAGTGTATCCTTGGTCCAAGGGCTCTCATTTGTACTTAAAACAGGGATGGGACCCTTAATTAAGGGGAGGTAATTAGGAAAATAAAAACAAAAGTACTGGTTGCTAAAAAATCCTCTCAAGAACCACTGGGCAGATTATCACCAAACTTGCATACACGATGAGAAATCAAACTTTGTCAGTCATTGCACCTTGAGTCCTTGGAGTGTGTCAACCAAAAAACTAGGTCACCTTGACCTACTTTTGCAATTTCATGACTTAATTTAAATATTTCAGATATTAAATGGCTTAGAATCGCCAAACTTTGTCAGTTGATGCATCTTGAGTCCTCGGAGTGTATCGACCAAAAAGTAGGTCACCTTGACCTACTTTTACAATTTCATGGCTTAATTTGAATATTTCGGTTATTAATTGGCTTGGAATTATCAAACTTTGTCAATTGATGCATCTTAGGTACCTGGAGTGTGTCGACCAAAAAGTAGGTCACTGTAACCTACTATTGGAGTTTGATGGCTATTTCAGTTACTAATTGGCTTAGAATCGTCAAACTTTGTCAGTTGATGCATTTTTCGTCCTCAAAGTGTGTCAACCAAAAAGTAGGTCACTGTAACCTTTTTTTTTTTGGAATTGGATAGCTTTTTCAGTTACTAACTGGCTTAGAAACATCAAATTTTGTCAGTTGATGCATCTTGAGTCCTCGGAGTGTGTCAACCATAAAGTACGTCACTGTGACATACTTTTTTACAACTTCATGGCTAAATTTTAATATATCAGATACTAATTGGCTTGGAATTATCAAACTTTGTGAGTTGTTGCCATGCTGACCTACTTTTGGAATTTCAAGGCTTTATCCTTATATGTAGGTTACCAAGAGGCTTAAAACAGATTATATTATAGGTTGTACAATTTTCAGAAGAGGAATTCTAGGCCCTTGGGCCTCTTGTATCGTATACTTTAAGCCTAACAGGAAGCCTCTGTATTAAAAGTCTTAAAATGTGTCGAGACAATTTTCGAGGAATAAATGAGTGGTTAACAATAAAGAAGATCATTGAAGGACGTCAGGAAAGATTTATCAGGTAAAAAAAAATTTCAAAACCAATTATGACTTGTTTAGGTGAAATTCTACACCAAAATTTTATTTAGTGGATGTTTAAGACATATATTTTAAAACACGATTTCATCATGGAAAGATTGCATGATATTAGCTCATAATTATTTTAACTGATTTTTTTTTTTATTATTATTTCAGATAAAATGTAAAAATTGTTTTATTTGCAAATAAGATGGTTTAGAGTTTAAAATTTTATGTTAATTAATGTACAATATAAATATCTTATGAAACATGTCAAGAAGAGTCGGAGAAAAATTGATAAACACTCTGTAATAACCTTCTCTGAAAACGAAAATAAACAATATTCTTGAGTGGGTAGTACTTGCTAAAATTTGGAATCAGATACCTTGTGTTATTTTTTTCATGTATGTATGTAATTTTTATAATCAAAATACGTGCCTTTTGGAAAAAGCCGTTAGAGGCCCACTAAAGCCTTCGTAACTTATTATTGGCTGAAAACTTTGACAGTTGTTTCTTCAAATACATTTGTAATTTGTATCCTGGTTGCCTCATATGGGACTACTCATATATTTTACAAGAAATCGTTAAGCAATATAATTTGTTATAACAATACACACAAAATATTCATGTGTAAAGAAGGAAAAATTAGTCATCTCTCCTTTTGACCCCTTTGTTGGCTTTGGAAAAAAAAGTGTTAATTTGAATGGACGACGTTGAAATCATATTTAATTGTCCGGAACTTCGAATTTTTCTCAATATGAAGGATCCAACATTCTGCATTTCCTCTACATAATCTCTGGGATGCAGCTATTCTTTTAATTGTCTGACAGAGACATTTATTCTAAGAAACAGACTCAAAAAAAAAGAACAACAAACAGCAACAACAAAACAAAACAAAATTTTTAAAAAATTGCAATTTCGGTAAGAATAAAACAAAAAATAAAATGCTTTAATCTAAGTTGCTAATTGATCTAAATCCATATTAATATATTGATCAAAAGCTCTCCAAAGCTTATGCTTTACATTTTCATAAAACCGAATTAAAATAAGATTTCTGATCTGGCTTCCGTAGATCTGTATACACCTTCATATTTTGTCAAAAATAGTAATTTGTTATGACAGATTAGTAATTTGATATAACAATTTACTAATTTGTTATAACAAATTACTTATTTGTTATATCAAATTAATAATTTGTTATATCAAATTAATAATTTGTTAATTCAAATTATTGATTTGTTAAAACAAATTATTAATCTCTTATATTAATAATTTGTTATATCAAATTGATAATTTGTTATATCAAATTATTAATTTGTTATAACAAATTACTAATCTGTTATAAAAATTAGTAATCTGAATTGTATTGAGATAATTTGTTTATCAAATTAATAATTTGTTATATCAAATTGATAATTTGTTATAACAAATTGATAATTTGTTATAACAAATTAGTAATTTGTTATAACAAATTAGTAATTTGTTATAACAAATTAGTAATTTGTTAAAACAAATTAATAAAAGGTACTGCTGCGGCCCTAATACGCTTCCGTACATTTTTCATGTTTTTGAACATAAACCTAGGGCCATTTTTCAACAGCTTCGATTTTTTTTTCAAATTGCTGATGACCTTAACACATTGAAAATTGACCCTGTTGAATACTCCAACAATAAAGTTTTGAACTGTACATGTCTTTGATTTTAACTTGTTTGACACGATTTATCAATATCTATTTATGAATTTTTCAGCTACAAACATTTCATTAATAAAAATAGGCCTCTTATCATTCTGAATATATATGTACGTTGCCAATCAGTACACGATTTAGCTTCTTTGAGGCCACGGTTGTCCATGACCTTACTTATGATACTACTTTCTTAAAATCACAGTATTTATATTTTATTTCACTACATGCAGTTAGTATTTTCCGAAGCACTCAATACAAATCCCATGCTGTGATGATGCAAGGATATATTCCAGATTATTTATGACTCTAACTAACCACTTTGAGAATCAAAGAAACACTCCAAAATCCCAGAAGACGATCGCACTGCATTACACAAAGCACGGTTCACAACACTATGCACTTTTATGTCTTCTTGTTCACCAGTAACCTTGAGTCCCCACATATTTTGTTTTTAGTGCATGCAAAAAAATTTTAAACTTGATTGGAGAAGACTTAATTCAATATCATACTTATTTGCAAAACATACCAATTTAATAAATTTTGTTGTAAAGTTGAAACGGCAATACACTTTTTACGTGTATGTCACCTGACTTCATCGACCCAGTAGACCAGAAACTGCATGTGAACGTCTCCTTCCCTGGAGATTCAGGTACTATAGCATATGACAGATTGTTTTTTCATGTTATATATGTAGTACATGTATTGTCAGCTTCTTACTTGTTGCTTATAATTAACTGCATGTTGTTTAATTTAGCATTACTTGTCAAAGCTCAGAAGAGCCGATGCGATGGTAAGGTATCTGTTGTTCGTCTATTTTTCAAAATGCTACTCCTTTTACTTTTTTTGATCTGATTTCAATAAAACTTGGACACAAGTAGACACATGTAAGATGCATAATTCTTTGGAAACAGCGTCTATGTATACAAGAAATGATCCTGCAGGGATTTCAGTTTACGGGGAATATCCACATTAACTTATTTTAGTAAGTACATGTATATTATCCCCGTTTATTCTAGAAATTCGAAGTCTATTTCCATCTTATTTTTTCTCAATTCAAGATCATCTTTGAATTTAAACTTTTCTAAATAGAAATGTGACGATTTCTCCCACAAAGCCAATACTTTCTGCTTTGTAACGACCAGTCACACCCACACAACCACATTTATAACGATCAACATCATCTAACTCGCCATATTACGATAAAGTCTTGTGGATGCCTAGTTTGTGTTTTTGAAGATTGCATTATAAATGCAGTCTAAGAACAACTCACATGTATGGGTCGTATGCAATTTCTTGACTGTTCACGAACGACGAATTTATGGCCTGCAAGCGAGTTTTCAAAAAGACACAACTTTGAAACAAAGTTTAAAGACAGAGAAATTGTGCTATGAATGAGACATGCACAAAAGGAAATGATTTTTTGTGAAAGTTTTTGTGAAAAACATGGGCGGACCGGAAAAACCTATCGAAACCTCTTTTTACCTACATTAAAGAAACCATACGAAATAAGTACATAAGATAACCTGAACAAATTTTCTTTATTGTACACACCAAAAGGGGAAATGTTTTATTTAAAAAGAACAAGATCCTTAAAAACCATCGAAGTGGAAAATCTGAGAAAATTATCTTACATCATCTCATCGAAAATGGTTAAATTGCATGTTATACACGTATCTGGGTGATG